GCTCGGTTGGTAGGCAGAGGAAAGGCTTCACCGCCGTTGGTACGAGGTCCTGTACTTCTGACCTCTCCCGGACGGGCTCCCTCGGACGGGGGGGCACTGCCACCCCGGCAGGAGACACAAGCCCGTTCAAAATCACAAGTGGCTTGACAATCATCAGTGGAAAGCGAGAGTGCGAGAGGAAAAGTGGGGCCGAAAGGCAGCGGCCAGCACCACCACCACTTCCTCCGAGGAACAAAAAAAACACCACAGCTGCCCATCGTGGCCTAGGAAAATAAAGACCGGGCCCCACACCCGCGGCGTCGCATGACGGGGGGGCTAATTGATATCTTGGGTGTGTCTGTACCCATCCATTCTCACACACTCCCGGACCCGAAGCTGCGGCCTTATTTGACGCCGTGATACAGGTGCCGCTTCGTAATAGGTAGGTCGCAACGCAGACTTTTGCATTCTCCACGCCCATCTCCGTCTGGCGCCCGCCGCCTTGCCTGATCGAGACTGAGGTGAGAGGGAAAGGGCAGAACAGAACAGAGCCCATCTGAAAAAAAAAAAAGCAACCCAACCAAGAAATGCCCCCCCTTTTTTTTCCCACCTCCTCGCTCCGCAAGGCCGCAGCAACCAGCTCAGACGACGTCGACCATTCATTCCAGCAAGCAGACGCCAGACCTGGTCTCCCAAGACGAGCAAGCGCCTGTCAAAATGTCGGTGAACAGAGCGCCGCCCCGAGCAGATAGACGAGCAGGCAACAAGAAGACAGATGGAAACGAGTGAGCAAACACGGTATGGGGTCTCAAGAGGGGGGCCTCGGAACGTCCAGTGACAAAATTAGATCGTTGTCGTTCGGCTGGAGTCAGGCAGGCCCGCCGCCACCGAAACTTGACCTCATTTTTTTTCTTCTTCCTCTTCTTGTCCTTGGTGTGCAGGGGATGGGCAGCACGGCAGCACGGCAGCACGGCTAGCACAGCCAACCCACGCCTCAATTCCCTTCGCCCCCGCCCCATGGGGCCAAGCCTTTCTGGAGAAATTCTGGTGGAACTGACGTATGTTCCCCTCCCTCCATCGCTCCTTTACTCGCCAGACAAGGTCATCCAAACCACCTCCGAAAAGCAGGGCAGGGCCTTGCCCAGGTACTGGGGGAGATTCGCAGGGTACAGTCAGGCAAGGCAATGATTTCTGGGCATACCGCCGTGGCGGGAGCTGAAAGCGCAAGCAACCTACAGAGCAGTGGCAGAGCGGAACAGTTCTGCACTACTTTTTTTTTTTTCGCTCTTTACTTTTTCCGCTTCCTTGCAGCCAGCCAGGCGGCCTTGCAGCTTGTAGCGCGCGTATGGCCTGCACATATGCAGCAAGCGGTCTCTTGATCAAATTCCACGCTGGAAGCGTTGGCCTCCCCCATCATTCCAAGGGCTCCAACAAGCGAGCTACTCCAGGGAAGGCCATTCCAGTCCGGGCCTCATCTCCATCCTGGAACATGGGCAAAGAGACTGTGAACGACGAGAGAAAAAAAAAGAGGGGGGGGGGGGGGGGGTGCCTGGGAAAAATTAGGAAGCTGGGGAGGTTCAGGTAACCTGACAGGGATTCAACAAGGCTGCATTTTCCTTCCCTCTCTTTTGTCCCCAGTTCCCGGCTGGTTACTTTTGTTCGTCCCCACATTTTTCTTCGACTTTCCGCTGTGTTTGAGGAGCCAAAGTACCGGTACTTCGGTTGCATGAAGATGGGCAGCCTCTACCAAAAGCGGAAGGCAGAGGAACCAAGACCTGCCTTGCTACCCCTCCGATCAGTGGGTTATAGGAAAGTAGGATATTAAATGTTACGACCCGCAGATCCTTCCTAATTAGACCACGTCCCAGCTACATTTTTCCCCATAGAAAAGCCCGCCAAATCGATGTATCGCTACTCTGCTAACCAGACCCACAGCGTAACGTTTAATATCCTACTTTCCCTGTACCAACGTCTCGGGGCAGAGAGACAAGAGAAGTCTCTCTCCCCTGCTTTTCCTTTTTCTCTGCGACAGCGCAACTGCCCACCCCTCCACTTCGTGAGTCGCCCACCACTTTGGTCATCGAGCTGATCCCCCCCCCACAATATGGAGCAGAGAAAGAGAGACAAGAAGCATGGAATGGAAGAGACAAGAGAAAAAAAAAGGGAAACATTGGTGGGCGCGGCTCAAATATCCGAGATTGAGACAGACACATGTAAAACACGCCCAAAGCAGCTAGATCTGGGGATCAGCTTCACCTCGACTGAGCGTTCCTCTCCCGGAAATGCTCCATCAGCAAAGAAGGGAGAAGGGAGGGGAAAACGTGCTCGCTCCCGCGAGCAAATTGCCGGCACGGCCGGATCCTGCGCTTTTTTTTTTTTTTTTTTTCGTTGCTGCTGCGCTGGTGCTTGCGTGCTTTTGATCCAAGGAAGCAAGGCAGTGCGTGCGCGCGCGCGCCAACAGGAAGCAGGCCCAGCACACACACAGAGTACCTAGCCAACACACGCACAGCCTAGACAGTGCTTGACCCGCCTAGCCGCGCACTGGGCTTGGGACGGACCAGTCGGGGCTCGCTGGCGCGGTGCAATGACATCAGTCCAAGATCCGGTGGCATGGCAAAATGGCGTGTTTCAACGGCCCCGGCTCCTGGTGGAACGGCTGGCCTGGTTATTATTGCTATTTCCCACTTGACGAAATAGCGTTCAAAGCCTGTCCCGTCCGGTCGCTAGGGAATGAATTACCGACCCCCGAGAAGAATGTTGCCATCATCATTACATACAGCAGGGACAAGAGACGATGCCCAAAAAAGGTTGGCACGATCGCGACCCCACGATCCCTCATAACGGCACAAGAGTGGGAAAGCCTAATGAGACCTGGCCTTGTGCTACCTTTGTTGCCTTTTTTTGCCCCTTTTGGACCAAAAGACCTCGGCAGGGCGGCTCATGTAAGCTATTAAGGGGTAAATACTACATCCACTTGGATGCTGTCATGTGTGCTAGCGGCGGGCTCTATGGTATCACTAGCATTGTCACAGCGCACGCCGAGAGGCTGTTATCGCCTTCTAGTCTTCTTCTTCGCACGCTCGACCGCAGCCCAAGTGCCGTGGATGGCGCCGGCAATGCCGTGCTGCTGGGGATATGCCTGGAAGAGGGCTGTGAGCCGACGGTCTGTGTTGTGGGCGTGGCATGTGTGTTGCGTGTGTTGCGTGTATGTGTGCGCGCGCGCTTGTGTCCAAAACAACATCGATGACGGGATGGTGGTGTGGTTGTGCAAGAAAAGGGTGCCCCACATCCACACCGTGGTAGCCGGACCGTCATGACAAGGACCCGCGGGAGTGCTTGTTCCTTATCCACGGCGATTTTGCTTCATAAGGGAGGCTCACATAACATCAATCCCACGGTGTGCGTCGTCGTCCAAACCACCACAGCCACGGCCACGGGCTGACGACCATGCGCCCCCTGCCGACACTGCGCGCTCGTCTTCCCGTGTGCGGGTTTCGGCCGAGAAATGCTGCGTGACTCACTAGCAGACGAATAGTAGCAAGAGGGCAGGGGGCGACTAGGGGCAGACAGGGAAACAGGAGATGGCTACGTAGGTCGGCATTGATCAAGAGGGGGGTGCTCGATATGATTTCATGTTGGTTGGTGCCCGAGCTGCGGCTATCTCCTTCACCGCCGCTGCGGCGGGAAAACCTTTGCAACAGCAAGCGGTTAAGCCACCAGGGGAGGGAGGCAGGGCAAAGAAAGAGAGCGAGAAGCGGAGGGGATGAGGGGGTGTGAGGGAGCGGGGGTGCAAACGCTCCGGCTGAGCGGCACCTCGGAAACGTCCATGTGCCTTTGCGGTGAGCCAATGGATGGATCGTGGCCACAGAGGACAAAGGAAAAAAAAAAAGGCAAAGCAAAAAATGGTCGAGTTGAGCAAGGCAAGACAAGGCATGGGTGGCTAGGGATGAAAGGTTGTCGTGTGCCCCACAGCCCCACCTCCGGGAGCCCAAGAGGGAACTGTCTAGTGGTCGTTGGAAAGCAGAAAGAATGGCGTCGAAGTTACCATACTAGGCCAATGCAGACGGGGCGTCGTCATAGGGCGGTGGGGGGGACGGATGGAGAGATCATCACGATTGTCGGTTTGCGAAACAGCTGCTGCTGCGGAATTACGCATCAGGATGTGCTTACATACTGTGTGCTGGTGTTGTGCGCAGCGTCCCACCGTCCCGTCCTTGCCCGCCGCGGGAACTTGGCCGATGATCGCCTGGCACGGCACTCTGGAGCTGAGGCCCGGCAGGGAGATGCATCCTGTTAGAGGTACAGTACATGCGTGCAAGTCGTCGTCCGGTCGCGGCGCTCTGAGGCTGCCATTTCTCTCGCCCCTGGCCGCGTTGGTCGGGTCGCCGCGCTGGAGTCGATCCGCCGCCCTGCCCTGTCAAAGTGGAAGGACTTGGTGTGCACAAACTCCACAAAAAGAACGACCATCAGCCATTCAGCAGAGTCGGTCGGCAGCTCAGGTGGCGCTGAGTGGCCCAGCCGCAAAGAAACCCAGGGCGTCAGCTGGGTGTCCTGAACGGTACCTGAAAATAACAGACCCCCTTTTTGGGGGGCGTGGGTGACGGGGAAAAAAAGAGGGAGAGAGAAGAAAAAAAGAGGAGCAGAAAAAAAGGACTCCTCTTCCCTCGCCTTCATTGGGCTGCTGGGATGCCCTTGGGAGATTCTCGGTAGTGGTCCCAGGAATCCTCGACAAGATCAGAAAAAAAAAAAAAAGGGCAGTTGGTACTCTCCATGTTCCCTCACGCCCGCATCAATGATGGTGTGGCCAACGATGCGTATCACTCAAGCCTTAGGGTGACGAATAGACAGAACTTCAACTTTCACGGTGCTTGCTTTTTGCTTTCCTCCGCGGAGACATTGGGACATTCATTTTGTTTTTGATTTGACCTTTCAAACGGTGGTGATCTAGCCGTGCGGGTGAGACTACGGTAGCGCAGCCATCGAGACAAGTAGTGCAAAAAGCAAAAAGAAACAAGAACAGCCTAGACGAAGCCAAAAGAGGAAAATGCTAATGGGGAGTGGACAGGGAGCAAAGCTTGGTGCTTCGTCACTACCTGCGAGTACGTACCTCTCGCTCCACATCCCTGATCTCCCATGCCCAACCCCATGTTCGCTCCCACCTGAGCTCCCCACCCCTGTACTTGGTACGCCCACCATTCTTCGATCTTGCCGCCCCCGTCCCTCGTCCCTCACAGCAGTCAGGCGCAAAGGCCACCTCCTTTCGGCGGCACTGGATACAAAGCCCAGCGGCTGTGCCCTGAAATCCGAAGGACGAGCGAGGAGGCCAGAAAAAAAGGGGGAAGGCAAAAAAAAACAAACAATTAAAATAAAAAAACCAAAACCCCCCCCAGCGGGCAAAGGGAAGAAGAGGTACGAACCCCAAGGTACCCATCTGCCACGCCTTTCCCACGCCTGTTCCTGCTCGATTCCTTTCTTTGGCCATGGCGCCCGCTCCGTCACCAATACTTTCCCGCCTCAGGAGCAGCAGCTCAGGACATCGCTCATAAGAAGAAAACGCAGCCCACACATGCGGCCGCCGCTGCCACCACACTGCCACCGCCGTCCTCGCCTCTCACTGCGCTGCGTTGCATTGGATAGAAACGCTCAGACACTCTCGCGTGCGCACACCTCAAAACCAGCACCACCCAGCACCACCGCCCAGCACCAGCACCACCATTACCACGGCCACGACCACTCCGTCCTCATCCGGCCTCGAGGCAGATTGTCGGTCTAGCAGCAAGCGAGTGGTCCGTTGCGCCCACGACTGATATTGCTGGCCGTTTTGCTTACCAGCAGCCAGCCCCGTCCGTGACTTGACTCAGCTAGCAGAGCCGTACTGGTGCTGCCTTTTTATTTTATTCACACATAGGTTTTTTTTTTTTTTTTTTGGACGGGGGATCATTCTCTCCAACCGACCTGTCTATATTACCAGCCAATCCCCATCGCCTGTGCCGTTGCAACAGCAGCTGCAGCTGCAGCTGCACCTTCTCGCCTGGTCTTGTATGCTCGCCGCTGGCCGCAACCAAGACGTCACCCTTGATCTGTTAGTTTCTGAGCAGAGTTATATAGGCCGTTGCCGACCCGTGTCAGCGCACCGCACGGCAGCCCAGCAGGAGCACCAGCAACCCGCGCAGACGGCAAGCAGTGGGTGTGACTCGGGCTTCCGAGCCATATCCCCCACGCGCTCGCTGCAAGCCGCCTTCGTGTCTGGGGTTACATACACCCTGGTCTTTTCTGCACCATAGCCGGTCCAGGGGAGCTCTTGTCCTCGGTACGCACCTCCGAACAGCCACCCATTCCAAGCAGCCCACAAGTGAGGGCGGCTCCTGCAGCTGGGGGAAAAGAGGCAGGGAGACGAAAAAAAAAAAGTGGGTGTTGGTCAGGACGGAATCTCTAACATAGCTGGCAGGGCGATTGACCAACCACAGCCATATCATATCATTTGGCCTGTCTGTCTGCCTGTTGTGCGGACACAAACTCAGCACGGTCGCCTCGAGCGTCTTTGTTTCGCGCACCACCCGGACGACAGCCAGGGCGCCTGGGCGAATCAACACGCCCGTGTGAGAGGGAAATTGCCATCGCCTTCTCTGCTCAGAACACGAGTTGCGGACCGCGAGGTCTGCTTTCGCACGCCATCGCCGAGGTTGAGCGACAGAAAGCAAGAGACACGGCGCCAGACGGGCCACTGCAGCTGTCTGGAGCTCGACTCCAAGGCGGAACCAGTGACATCTCGCAGCCATCATTTCGGTTGCCTTGCCCCTCGTGGGGATCCCTCTGTGCTCACGCAGGCGACGCTGGCCTCTAGTGTTCCCGATCGAGCCACCTGCATATCAAGTCGACTTTGCCAGCTAATCCCATACTCCCCTACCACCTCCCACCTCGCCCTCACGGCCACGGCCTCTACCCGCCCCATCCTCCAGAATAAATAGCACGCCCCCCCCCTGTACATGCCTGCAGCACCTGGGTCTCGTGCCGTACCTGTACACAACCGATACCTGGATCCACTTGGCTCACCAGAAAGGCTTGGGACCGCCGCGTTGCCCGCTGACTAGCAGAGAGGAAGAGCGAGAGAGAGAGGGCATCACACATCGCCGTGCAGCCACGACCCCCCCAGCCCAGGAGATTACACCCTTCTGTACCCTCCGTTGGGGCTGCTTTCAACCACGCACCCCCAGCATCCCACCCTCGGGTGCGATCCCCTCGAGGGGGCTTCTTTTCCTTGCTTTTCTTTTTTTCGGGCTTGACCATATCTTCTGGGAACACACCCCGCCGCAACTCGACGCCTTCTGCGGGATAGCTCTAACCCGGATCGCGGCCCCAGGAAAATGCGTGTGCAGAGATCGGATCTCCACATATAAATCTGAAGCCTCCCCATCGGCCGGAACTCACTTCCACCCGCCTCCGGACTGTATCCACTGCCGGCCGACACAGAGGAGCCCACCATGACTGTCTCGACTCCTTCTCCCACCATTACCGCCGACATGGCCACCAACGCTCTCGGCATCTCGCAGTCCCCGGCGACTCGCACACAGCCTGCCGTCCTTACCAGGCGAACCCGCCCCGGCAACCTCCAGACCAACATCTCCCTCAACTCCCAGCTCATTGCCATCACGCCGTCTGCATTTAGCGCAAAAAGCACATCCTCCATGTCGGTTGCCTCCAGCATCCAGTGCTCACCGGTCCTGTCGCCCGACGTGGTCCCGGGCCTGACGCAGAGCAGCTCCGTCCAGGCTTCTCCTGAGCCGATGCGAGGCAGGGAAATTGAGCAGTTCCCTCCCCCTGCCTTCCAGCTTCCCGAGTCCGTGCTCGCCCACTCGGGACTTGCACGCAAGGCTAGCAATGGCTCGCTCGGCCAGCCGCTGCTGGGTCCCGGCGCCGGGGCCCTGCACGATGCCGTGAGCAACAAGGGTCTTTTCCGCCGCCTATCAAACAAGGCAACAAACACGTTCCGGTCCCGCCGCCAGTCGTCAACCCATGGTAGCAACAGGGGTGCCAGCATAGGGCCTGGCCTTGCCCGCCCCCGGCAGCGCAGCAACAGCGACCTGACCAACCCCTTCACCGACTCTGACGACGAGCCCATCGTCGACCTTGACGACAAGATCTCGTTTCTCAGCATCGCGCCCGACATCAGCTGCAGGGACGCCTCGCCCACGAGTGCACCCGCCTCCATCGCTGGCGGCAATGCCTCGGCAGGCCCCTTGTCCGTGGTCGCCGGCCCCGTCATCCCGCTCGAGCTGCTTCAAGGAACCAGGGTCACCAAGTGCTCCAAGAGGGGAGGTCGCAAGAACCTGACGCTTCTCCTTGACGCCGAGGACGCGAAGCTCCGGTGGTACAAGAGCAGGACATCAAAGTCCATATACCTCGACGATATTAAGGAGATCCGTACCAACGAGGACATTCGCCAGTACCGCCTCGACTTTGGCATCGCCAAGGAGATGGAGCCTAACCTGTTCTCTATCCTATATGCCGTCCCCGACAAGTCAAAGACCAAGATGATGCACCTCATCGCTGAGACCCCCCAGGTGGTGGGTCTATGGGCCTCGACCCTGTACGCAATCTCGATGCACCGCCAGGACTTGATGTCTTCCCTCATGGCCTTCAACGACAAGGCCATCGGGAGCTACTGGCAGAAGGAAGTGCTCAAGCAGCTCAAGAGCAGCTCTGATGTCGAGGAGAGCATCGACTTCGCTGGCGTCGAGCGTGTATGTCGCAACCTGCACATCCACGTCGCCCCAGAGACTCTGAGGGAGAAGTTTGGCGAGGCCCTTGGAGCGAGTCCCTTGGACACCGAGTCCACGGCCAAGACCGGGCGTCTGAATTTCAGCCAGTTCCAGGAGTTTGTGCGCCTGATGAAGAAGCGGGAAGACATCCGTCCCATCTACCGCGAGAGGACCTCGGACATCGAGAGCGGTATGACGCTAGCCGAGTTCCTGAGCTTCCTGTCTGAGATTCAGAGCGAGGATGTCGATGCGGAGCGGGCCCACTGGGAATCCGTGTTCGCGCGCTTCGCCAAGCGTGGGAAGGCCAAGGACGCCCAAGGGCCAGATGACCTGCCGCGCATGAACGAGCTCGGCCTCACCGGCTTCCTCACGTCGACATACAACGTGCCCATCGCGAAGTGCCCCAGCGACTACTCGCTTGACCGTCCCATCAACGAATACTACATCTCAAGCTCGCACAACACGTATCTCCTCGGTCGGCAAGTGGTTGGCCTCTCGAGCGTCGAAGGCTACATCTCGGCCCTCATGAGGGGTTGTCGGTGTGTTGAGGTAGACTGCTGGGACGGCGGTGACGGCTGGCCTGTCGTTTCCCATGGCTGGACCATGACCACCAACATCTCGTTCCGAGAGGTCATGAACGTCATCAACAAGTACGCCTTCGTCAAGACCGAGTTCCCACTTTGGATCTCGCTCGAGGTGCACTGCTGCCAGGACCAGCAGCGGAAGATGGTGGCCATCATGAAGGAGATCTTTGGCACCAAGCTCGTCACGGAGCCCCTCGAGGGCATCGCCTTGGACAAGCTCCCATCGCCGTCGCAGCTGAAGAACAGGATCTTGATCAAGGCTAAGAAGCCTGGACACGAAGAGTCCCCTGAGAAGGACAAGGCGGCTGCTGGCAAGATGGAGAAGCCGGGGCGGAGGCGGGGTAACAGCCTCAACTCGCCCTACTCGAAGCCCGTCTTCGACGGCTCGCCGGTGCCGCCGCAGCCTCTGCAGCAGAGCCCGAGCCTCGGCGCGACGCATCCTACGATACGGCGGATGGGCAAGCCGAGCCGGGTCAACACCATCACCGAAGGCCGGACGTACGATGCCCCCAGCAGCGGTCCCAGCGATTGCGATAGTGGAAGCGAGCGGGACAGCAGCGGTGGCGGCGGCGCCAACCACAGCGGCACCAGTAAGATCGCCAAGGAGCTCGGCGACCTGGCCGTGTACTGCGCCGGAATCAAGTTCCAGGGCTTCGACCACACCGACTGCAAGATGTTCAACCACATCTTCTCGTTCCCCGAGGGGACGTTCCAACGCAACAGCAGGCCCGGGGATGCTAAGCGCGCTCTGTACCGACACAATATGAGGCACATGATGCGCGTGTATCCGCACAAGGGCCGGGTGTACTCCAGCAACTTCGACCCGCTGCTGATGTGGCGGCGCGGGGTCCAGATGGCGGCGCTTAATTGGCAGACATGGGACCTGGGCATGCAGCTGAACCAGGCCATGTTCGACGGCGGCACGGACCAGTCGGGCTACGTGCTAAAGCCCAAGGAGTTCCGCGAGATCCAGCACTTCCCCTACCTGCCCGAGCACATGGTGGGCGGCAAGCGCCCACGCAAGAACGTCAGCTTCACCATCGACGTCATCTCGGCCCAGCAGCTGATGCGCCCCCACAACTTCCGCGAGCGCCAGACGCTCGACCCTTACGTCGAGGTCGAGGTCTTCCTGGCCGACGACAAGCGCAACGCCAACCGGGATTTCTCCGACGCCGGCCCCAGCCGCTCCAAGCGCAAGACGCTGCCCGTGGCCCAGAACGGCTTCAACCCGGGCTTCGAGAGCAAGTTCGACTTTGAGTTCCAAACAAAGTACCCCGACCTCATCTTTGTGCGCTTCAACGTGCGCCTCTCGGATGGCGGCAGCCAGAGCGACCGCAACACCATCCTTGCCAGCTTCACGGCCAAGCTCAGCAACCTCAAGCAGGGCTATCGCACCCTGCCGCTCCTCGACGCCAACGGCGACCGCTACCTCTTCTCCACCCTCTTCTGCCGCATCAAGGTCGACCCGGCCACCGAAATCTTTGTCGACTACACCGAGGAGGAGAACGTCAGCAAGCTCCGCAGCATCGGCCGCACCGTTTTCAATCGAGGCACCGCCAACAGCCCCAAGTCCAGCGTCGACAGTGGCGCCCAGGCCTGATCGCGTCGTCTTTGCCATACAGACGAAAGCTCCCCTAAAAGCGTGTATCAACAGAGCTCTTATTCTTCTTCTTCTTATCTTTCTCTTTTGTTCTAGCGACACCTGTGTTCTTCAAGATTTGCTATTCCTTCGCTCCATGTCTTCTTCCTATTCTCCTGTTGTCATATTAATTCCCTATTTACATCATTTTCTTGTCTACGTGTTTCTCGCAGTTCTGGAATACCCCCTCGTTTATCATGACTATCATAAGATCGGCGTAAAAAGCGGACAGCAACCGAGGTTGCACATTCATACCCACGGCGCCCAGAGTTTCTTTATTTTCTTGTTCATTCCATTCTTCAACTATACTGTCAACCCTTCAATTCTCCATCGATCGCTCGGCCCCTTGCAAAATCCACGCTGGGACAAGGCCTTTTTTTTTTGGCGCCAACCAAGTCCAGAGGACGGTTAGCCTACCTGTATTACTCTTTATTTAAACTTCTTGCGTCGTCGGAGTCGGTGGCCCGCACGCACATCTTTCTGCAAAGGAAGGCGAGGGAAATGGATGGGAAGCATACATGCATGTCACGGGGAGTTTTTACTGTTGATTTTCTTCATTTCTTCCTTGGTTTAAACACAGTCAGTTAGAAGGACGGATAGGGTGGGGGCCAAGAATCTCCGCAGCAGACAAAACATGTTACGGGAGCATCATATTGGACAATTCAGATTTTTTGCCTATCCACTCATTCCTTTTGCAATGGCGTGCCAATCATCTGTGCTCCTACGTCGCATAAAATACACGTAACAGCCATTTGGTCGACCAACACAGGAGCCAGAGCTAATGAGGTGGTCTCGTGTGGAATGCATGCCATTCACACCGCCGCCCTCGCCCACTTTAGATCCAGACCACGCGAGATTGCGCACATCGCCCGTTAGGCCTGTTTCTTGTCCTGTCAGGGCTCGACATGGGCCAAGTAAAAATACAAGCCGACAGAGCACCACGCGTCGGGCTTGTCCCCCCCACGCCGGCGCGGCAGGGCAGAACGTGCCGTTCCCCGGCCTAAACCAAGGACTAGGGAGGTACCTAGCTTTGTGTGCGTGTGTGTGTGTGTGTGTGTGTGTGTATGGCCGAGACTTGATCCCCCTCCCCATCCGCCCCTTCGGTCCAGCCTTTCCCTTCGCCTTTCCGCCGGCGCCAGGCACCAGCGCCAAAGCGATCTCCTCTCTCCCTAGCTTCTGGGCCATAGGCGGTGGGCACCCTCGCCGGCGCGCCTACACCCCCCCGCCTGGCTAGCGCCGCGAGCCGTTGCCTGACGAGCGCCCTCATGCTGAAAGATGGGACAAAAAAAAAAAAAAAGCATGCCGTTTAGCGGAACTAGGTTAGCTGGTTCGAGGAGATCACTTCTCGCAGCCGGGGGAGAGGGGGAGGGAGGGAACGCGCTTGCCAACAACACCAGCTTTGAATTGACCGCATTTTGGGTCCGTAGTAGCAGTCTTGCGTCTGCCTCGTGCCGGAACGGGGCCCCCCTCGTCCCAGCTTCGCGCGTTCGGCGTGGCCGGCACCGGACCCCAGAACCCGCAACATCCAGCGCCATGTCCTATCCCTTGAAGAAGTGCATGTCTTTTCTGTGGACAACGCGACTGCCCCTCGGCGAAACCCAGCACATGGCACCTCTTGTGTACAGTGCTATAGTCGAAAGCGACTAGGGGTCGGAGGCCCTCCGGCGGGTGCGAAGCCGAACTCGCGCAACCCCGTGATGCTGTCTGGGTAATGTCAACGCCGAAACGCACGCGTTAGATCGGCTGGAGTGCACGGGACAGATTTTCAGCGACTTGCGGATGATGGGTGAAACTCTGGTTTCTATCATACTCTATCTACCTTTCAATCGATGGTCAGCCAAGATAGAACAGAACCAAGTACAGCTTTCCACCCCCGTAAATTGGGTCCGAGTATGAACTCTTCAGTAAGTCATTAATCTTGACAAATGTCCTCCATGTTGCGCCAGATGCGTGGACTAGAAATAGAAAAAATGTACATGTATATAATTGCCCAGAAAGGGGCAGCAAAACACGGCCGTGTTGTTTCCTGAAGCAGGAAGACGACAAAAGATGGGCCGCCGCCGCGATGGAGAAAGGGAGGAGCATGCAACAAAAGAAAGAAAGAAGAAAAACAAGATCCAAACGGGGATTAGAAGATATTCAAGGCTCGCTTGCTGGCAACGGCGCATCTCTTGGCAAGTTTGCTCGACTCAAATTGGCCAAGTGGGAGGTATCCCTCACGGCATGGAAGAAGATGAGAAAAAGATGCGAGACTCGTTTAATCGACACCGGCGTCTGAATCACCCCTTGCCCTGCCCGAGGCACCGGGACTCTTCAAGCCCCGCCCGCCACCCCGGAGCAGGCCGCTTGCTCCGCCTCGACCCCATGCAGGGTCTGAACGCAGGCCTGGTGATCTCTTGGCCTGCGATTGACCTCGGGAAGAGGAAGAAGTGGCAGCAGCAGCGGCAGCGGCAGCGGCGGGGGCAGCAAAGTCCTCCTCAAGCACGGCCTTGTCGTCTTCACTGTCGTCCATCAGGTCGTCATCGTCCATGAGATCGTCATACGCGCCAGACGGCCGCAGTCGACGCATCGACACCGACGTTGACGGCGGCGGCTGCGCGATGTCATCATACATGTTCGGATCCCGGCCCAGTATGCGGTCCGCCTTGGACGGCGCTCGAAGGCCTGGGCTCGCCGGTTGCGGGTGCTGAAATCGCTGTTGCTGCTGCTGCTGCTGCTGCTGCACGTAATGCCTCCCCGCCCCTCCGGCAGACCCAACCCCTCCGGGCGGCGGCGGCGCGATGGTCTGGTTCCACGGCGCAGGCTCGTCGTCGTCTTCGGGCTGGCCCCAGCCGGCGGCGCGTTCGCGCTCGCGCTGACGCTCCCGCTCGCTTGCGAGGTCGTCGCGCGCTTGTAGCCACCTGGGGCTTGGCTCCCAGGACCAGCCGTCACCGGTCGTGGTGCATATGGGGAAAGGCCATAGCCAAGGGTTGTGGCCAAACAGGTGTAGGTAGTTGCGGCGGACACCTAGGTCGAAGGCGTTGGGGAGCTTGGCGCTGTCCTGCTCGTCGAGATACTCGTCGTAGCGCTTGCGGGCGCGGTGGCGCTCAAGCTCGTCGTATGTCATGCGTCGGCCCATCTGGCCCTCGGGGCCCGGTATGTCGCTGTACATGGAGCCGTTGGGGCCGGTGGCGGGGGCCGGGCGACGGTCCTCCCCCTCCTCGGGTCGCGTGATGCCTGGCAGGACGTTCTCGTGCAGCTCGAGTAGCTGCTGGCCGTAGCGGGGCAGGGGGACGCCGTGGCCTCCGTGCTGGGCATTGTAGGCGTTGCGCAGCGTCTGGCGCAGCGGTGAGAGGTAGCGCGTCTTCTCGAGGCACTCGATGGTGGTCTGGCCGCGGCCGACGAGGACCAAATGCCAGATGGTGAAGGCGCCAACAACGAGGCCAATGATTCCGGCGACGATGCACAGCATGATGAAGTTGACGGGCATCAGGTCCTCGACATAGGTGGTGTTGTTGAGGATCTCGTTGTAGACCCAGTCGCCGGCGACGGCAAAACCGTAGAGGCTAAATAGGCTAGTGTAGATAAGGAAGAGTAGGAAGGCCTTGTGGTTGCGCAAGCCGACGCACGTGGCCAGCCAGGGGCAGTGGTGGTCCATCTTGAGGACGCATCGGCGGCAGGTCGAGCAGTGGTGGGCGCGGTCGGGTTTGCGGGCCTGGCACTTTTTGCAGAAGCGCAGCTCGCCGTTGGACTTGACCGTGAAGGACGTGGCGGCGGGCGCGCCGTGGCTGGGCAGCGCGCTGTATCCATGGGCATCCGTCGTGCTGCCGGGGGGCGTGAAGACGGCGACGGAGTAGGACCAGTTGAGCATGAGGTAGAGGAGGATGCCGAAGAGGGATGACGAGGAGCCTGGAGGGGGAGAGCACGGCCAGTGTTAGCGCGGGTCATGCTGCACGCATGCAAAGACGGAGCCGGACAGGGGGAGTGACAGGACACTCGACGTACCAAGCCAGGTTGACTTGGTCTTGGTGCCGCCTATGTTGACGATAGCCCAGACGGCCCAGGTTGTGATGCCATAGACGAACACGAGCGGAGACAGGCCGATACAGGCACAGCAGCAGCGCTCGATCCGCCTGGCGAGGCGGCGCGACATGGTTGCTGGAGGAGCTGGGGAGGGTGAGCGGGAGCGCACGTCCATGAGGTCAAAGAAACAGAACAAATAAAAAAAAAAGTGCACAAGTGTCAGCTCTCCAGAGCAGACAGAAAAGGCCCGTGTAGCGGCGGCATGTCCCTCAACAAGCAGCTCAACTTGGTCCGTGGTGCTGTCGAGCGTTGCAGGCTGGCTGGCTGGCTGGCTGGCTGGCTGAGCCTGGCCCCTTTTTCTGTCTTGTCTTTCTCGAGGCACGGCCAAGGGGCGCTCAGCTGCGGGAGGGCTCGGGCGAGGCTGATGTGGAGCACTTACTGTGGCAGTGCCATGCCGTTGACGTTTGTCATCCTAATGCTGAGCCACCACTCCATTATTGCCCCATAAAAAGCCAACGTCCTCCGTTGGGCGAAGCCAGGCGAAAAACCAGGGGCTTAGCTTTGGCACCAACAAACATCCATGCATGGTATTCTGGTCAGCCCAAACACAACAGCCTGCACAGAATCCAACAGCCGATAAACCTCAGGCAGTGTGGATGATATGGAGACGGTGCCAGGCGTTCATCAGACAGCTATGTCGTCGAAATAAACTACCAGTTCGGATCTTGCATACATGAGCACAAGGCCTTCATCCCTCCCTCCCGGAATGTCACCGCATAAGTCCCTTCAGATCTGGTGCTGCACCATGCAACCAAGGACAAAATCCCCGCGTCTTCAGTCTTCCCTCCTCCATCCCCCTCCACACAGTCAGGTGACACCCCCCCTCTGTAAGACCTACACACCCTGCTGCAGAGTTGCAAGCGAGAAGCAGCCCGATGAGCCGCTCACCGGTCCCACCCCGATGCAACCCTTTGCTCAACTTTGCAACCCCTCCTTCATGTATACGACAACCCGGTACAGTCTCGGTACCTACCGCTACCTACATACTTTAGAATACCAATGAAATCCGTCTCACAAAGCAAATGTCTTTTTTTTTGGCCATTATATGGAGCAGCGCGTGGCTTCCTGCATGACTTCTTGCAGCGTTTACCACAGCGTGAACGCGGACAACGAACTTGCAAGGCTATGGTGCTGGCAGTAAGGAAGGAAGTTGAAAAGGGGATCATGTAGGTAGCTTCTGAGGTCAAACGGAAGGAGCGAACATGTCAGAACACAAGCCTGCAGAATAAAGAAATGGAAGGCATAAGAAGCAGAAAAGCAAAAGTCCACAAGCAGCAATCACTATATTCGTTGCATCTGAATGGAAATGCCAGGTCATAAGTGCGGCCGTTTGCTCCTGCCCTTTGTGTCATAAATGCGGCCGTTGCGCTCCTCAACTCTCGCCCGCTCCTTCCATCTCTTCCAGCGGCAGTTTTCCAACCCACTACTCACAAATTCATTTCTGAACAGTTGGACGCGCCCAAAGTGTTTCTTCACCTCAAATCACAAACAAGCTTGATCAATCTTGTCAAATCTCGTGTCCGGTACCGGCCTGGTACCTATCTCCATGAGCAGGATGGATCGTCGGTCTTCTGATGCGGACGCGCGCGCTCTCGTGCTCCTCAACGACCAGAAAATCCCCTGCCCGGAATGCGATGTCGTCTTGTCCTCCCCCAGCGCTCTTTTTGAGCACAAGGAGGACATGATGAACAAATGGCGCACTCACCTGTGCTGCGTCATCTGCAAGATCACGTACCGTAGCCCCGAAGCATACCGTCTCCATTATCGCCTGGTAAGGCATCCTCAGAGCTCTATCTATCAGGCAGACTAGGCAAGCACACAAAAAACTGACAGTTCTTCCTATGATAGTCTCATATCGCCAAACAGAGCCTCCAATGCCCTGGCTGCAACGCAACATTTGTCCGCGGAGCTAGTCTTTTCGCCCACATAGAGCAAGGACACTGCGGTGGTCTCGGCAACTCGGCTAAGGCGTACACGAACGCGAAGCGCGAACAGACCATCGGCTTCATCCGCGCGCTTCAGGACAGGGACCTTGCCGCCCAGGCCGGCTTCCAGCTGGGCCCCGGCAAGACGGGCGACGACTACGGAGGATACGTCGGCAAGCAGAGGGAGGCCTACGATCTGACGGACGACGAGGTCGTCCGCTTCAGCCTCCTCCGTCTTGAAGAGGAGGTCCGCGAGAGCAAGGGCGCGTCGTTCGACCGCGAGCTTGACTTCCCCCCGCCAGGATCCCGGGACTACCACCTTGGCAACTCGAAGCAGCCCGATCTGCTGGGTGACGAGGAACCGGTCGTCCACAACCAGCCCGACAAGGGCGCCTGGGATGCAGGCAGCAAGCAGCTGTTCCCCAACCCGCCGCGGGCGCTGGCGCCACCCACGGCCAGGTTGACGCCGCAGGAGCTCCTCGCCCTCCTGGAGCAGGTGGACAAGCAGACGCCGCACGACGAGCACGACCCGGACGTGCCCGGCTTCCACACGGGCCGCTACTGGGTCGAGGTTCTCAGCAAGTACAAGTGCCCGCACCCGCGTTGCGGCAAGTCGTTCAAGGTGCCCGGTGGCCTCGAGGGCCACCTCCGGTCCGAAACGCACAGGAGCGTGCCCTTCATCTGCCCGCAGTGCATGCGCAAGTTCAAGTCCATCACGGCCCTGGCGCAGCACGCCGAGGCCGAGGGTATCCGGTGCACCATCCAGACGTCCCAGTCGTACCGCATCTTCCTCACACAGCTGACGGGCGCCGTGCTCGACGTCGACGGCAGCCACGACGACAGCTCGCCCAGGTACGTCGTCACCGAGCAGGCCAAGCGCGACCTGGGCGACGGCGTCGAAGGCGTGTTGAGGGTGCTTGACGCGTCCAAGGGCACGCAGCGGCAGGTGCCGCGGTCGACTCTGGCCGCTGCCCCCCTCCCCAAGCTGCTGGCGGCCAGGGAGCGCCATGAGAAATTCTGCGAGGACTACAGGAAGGAGGTGATTGAGAAGCATGCTGCACAGGTTGGACAGCCCAGCGGCGACCAATGGTAGGATATCTTTCTACCTATTCAGAACACATGTGTTTGTGATCGCGGCACGGAATGGGATTTACGGGAGCGAATCGTGTTTGACCGAGATGGAGAGGGGAAAAGGTAATATCATGTCCGTCGACGACCTCTCTTTACTTTTCTAGGTAGTCATACATTTCTTGTCTGGTGGAGGCACATGTGACGAGGCCAACGCCAGACACCATTGCGCCTTGCTCATAGTACGCAATACTTCTGGGTCGTGTACTGTAAAAACAAAGGAAAATAAGATTCCGTGTCCTCTTACGCTCCGGGTGTTCTCCCAAACCCTCCGACGATCCCAGCGCGTATTCATGAAGACGATTGAAAAGCAGTTGGAGGCAATGATAAGGATGGGGGCTGAGTATACCATGTGATCAATAGCAATAGAGTGCCCGCTCAAAAGACGGGGCATATCACGCTGTTGAGTCTCTTCCGCTCCTTGGTGATCCGTCGCGTTCAGCTTCCGCGGAACAAGAACTGAAGGTCCTCAGCCTCCAACGCATTCAACGCCATATCATCCGAGTTTACAGTCGAGTTGATCATCTTGGTCTTCTTCTCTTGAAGCAGTACAACGCGACTCTCGATCGAGTCCTCGATGCAGAGGCGAGTGATGACAACCGGTCGAGTCTGTCCGATACGGTGAACACGGTCCGCGCTTTGCCACTCGGCGGCAGGGTTCCACCAGCTTTGAGAGATAATTTGGTTAGTCGAGAGTTTAAAAGTATACGTGTAGGGAGTGGAAGTGCGAGGATGCACTTACGGATCGACAATAAACACACGAGACGCCTCGGTCAGATTGAGAGCAACGCCTCCCGCCTTCAAGGAAACAAGAAAACACTCGACGTCGACATTCGTCATGAAATGCTTGATGGACGCGGCGCGCTGGGCGGGTGTCATGCTTCCGTCTAGCATGACTGTTGTGATTCCAGCACGGCGCAGCCGCCACTCGATCAGCTGCAGCATACCCGTGAACTGCGAGAACACGATGGACTTGTGCGAGGAGTTGTCCGAGCGCAGCTTCTGCAGCGAGTGGACAAGCATCTCCATCTTGGTCGAGGACGTCCACTGCTCCATTTTGATCCGGTTGATGATGGAGTTCTTCTTGACCAGCTCCTGGTCCTGCTCAACCTCGGGCTGCTCCAGATCGATCGAAAGCTGGATGTGGCACCGCGGGCACGTCGGATTGTCGGTCGAGTTGACGTAGCTGGAAACACAAGCGCGGCAGAACTCGTGCTTGCACTGCGATCGAATCGCGTCTTCAGCCGTGTCATCGCAGATGCAGCAAACCATGATGTGTCTGCCTTCTGCATTCTCCTTCCTGAGAATGAGGTCCGGGTGGTCAGCCACCTGGCGCATCTGGCTCAGAAGGCCAAAGATGTTGGCGTAGTTGTTCAAAACGACGCCCTGGGAGACATATGTGTCGAAGCGACGTTGGTTGTTGTGCATGATGCTGTCGGCAAAATCTTTCTCAACCTCGCCAAAGAACTGGCGGTCGATGATGACCTCCTTGGTAGGAAGCTCCATGGCGTCCATATGATCCTTCTTCTGGCGGCGAAGCATGATCTTGGAAGTCAGGAGGCGTAGCTTCTTGAAGGCTTCGGCGCCAAGGTAGCTGTTGCCATATTTCTGGATCGGATTGAGAAGCTCCTGGTTGAAGACAGACACATGGCTCAAACCTCCGTGGCTGCACTCGGTACACATGTGGTTATCGTCCATTGTCCACTCGAGCTGGGAGCAAGGGCAGTTTCGGCAGAGGTAGTTGGCGAAAGGCTCAATCTTGAGGAAGCGGACAAGAGAGAAGAACTCTCCGATGCGGTTCTGAAGAGGAGTGCCCGTCAGGCACCATCTATAGGTTGTCTTGAGTGCGAAGCAGGCCTTGGAGGTCATCGTCACCCGGCTCTGTATGTCGACGAGGGAAGCCGATTAGCTTGGTCAAAGTTCACAGTTGTTATATTGCGCCTTGACTCACCTTGATGTAGTGGGCCTCGTCGAGGATGACGCGGTGGAAGTTGAGCTGGTGGATCAGGCTCTTTTCCTTGTAGATGCCATCCTTGCGAGTGAACCCCTTCTCCTGCTTCCTGTAGAGAGACTCGAGACTGTTGTACGACATGATGATGACGTCTATCTTCTGGAGATCTTTGAGGGTCAGATGCTTGATCTGCGCGTTGGAGGAATGGTACACTAGAGTCTTGAGTGTTCCGTCGGTATAGGACTCGATTTCGCTCATCCATTGCATCAAGGCGACGGGAGGAGCTAGCACTAGCGAGGGCAATTCCGCAGGCCAATCAGACATGACAAGGGACACGGCCTGGATTGTCTTGCCTAGGCCCATCTCGTCACCGAGAAGGCCACCCTTCCAATCGGTCTGTTCCATGGCTTTCATCCAAGAAAGGCCTTGTAGTTGGAATGGCTTGAGGCGCCGGGAGATGGTCTTGGGCTGCTCGGCCATGGGTGGCTGCACTGCCGCGATGCGCTCAAAGTCCTCCCACAGAGTTTTCATGTAGGGATGATTGATTTCGAGTTTCTCCCTATTTTTCTCTTCACGGCTGGCGCCGCCTCGAATTCGGCCGAGACGGCGCGCACGCGGTGTGCGCCTTGCTTGCGAAGTCATCACAGCAGGAGGGTCGTCCTCCGATCCCGAATTATCAGAATTATCCGGATCTGAACGAATCGAGCTCAAGTCGGCCTCTGAGCCCGACTCCTCGCCTGTGCTATCGGCGACGGTCGTTGTGCGGCGGTTGGCGGCAATTTGGGAGGCGGCGGGCCTGTGAGCGACTTTGCGACTCTGATTGAAGTTGGATTGCTTTTGCTTCTTGGAGGAAGCAGGAGCAGGTCGCTTCGTGATTCTGGAGGATGAGTAGGTCGAGTCCATGGACTCGTCGCCCGAATCATCTGGAGGAGGCGAGAGGTCGGACTCCGAATCTGCTTCGGAATCAGGAACAGAAAACTCGACGTCCAATTCCTCGTCTGAGCCCTCGATCGCGACTTCCTCATCTGCATCCCCGTCCAAAGAGTCCACAGCCGCGGAGGCTCGGGTGGGTCCCCTCTTGGGTGCAGTCGACCTCCGAGCCGATCGCCGCGGCGCAGGTCCTTTACCCTTTGTGGACGAAGCCGCCCACGCACGCTTGGTCAGACGAGAACCGATTGGGGCTGGACGGGCCGCAGTCGTTGGAACAGCCTGGTACATCTGGGACAGCCGAAGTTCGTCTTCTTGCAGCTCTTGAGCCAGCATCAGGTCCGAGTCGTCGCCGCTATCGTCAACTTCATCCCACTTGCGCTTGTTTGACCCGTGGATATCATAAATGCTTCTGCTGAGAGCCTTCTTACTATCTGCAGGCACGGCATCCAGGGGAAGCGACGAGATGGGAATGTTAATCTCCAGCCTCTGTCCCATGACATGGGAGGAGCCCATGGCAACTGGGGCTGGTGTGGTGACGTTGCTCGTCAGAGGCGTAGAATACCCACTGGCAGAGGAGCTGGCAGTGGGCGCCGAGTTGACCGAATCTCCGCTGGAGATCCTCCTGCTGGCCGAAGAGGAGGGTCTTCCTCGCTTAGACTTGTCCAGGGACGAGGCACCAGCTGCGACTACATATTGGAGCATGAGCGAGGATGATTCCCGAAAGATCTAAAGCATCTTTCGAATGCCGCAAGGGATCAAACTCACCTGGTGATGGGTTGGCCTTGGTATCGGACTCATCTCGCTGAGCCAAGCCAGCGGAACGCCGTGTCCGGACCATCACGGCTGCAATCCACCCGCAGCAGCTCCAACTCCCGGACTTGGCTCGGTAACGAGAGATCAAGGGTCGAGATACGATCAGAGTGGACAAAGTCGAGTAGGACTATAGTAGATTGTTGGTGGAGGCTTCGCTGATGCCGCCTGACAAGGTGACACGACTTGCACGTCGTCAGCAGGCTGTTGTGAAGATGTTGGCGTCCTTGGTTGGGCGATATATGAGTGTGGCGGCCAGCGTTGTCGGCTGGATCCGCCACCTTATTATGTACGATCGCCAGGGAAGCAGACAGGGGCTGAGATCTTATGGATCGCCCGCGCTAGTGCGAGCGCCGTGAGGAGAATGCGAATCCCAGAGACAAGTCGGCTGGTGGGAGAAATCTGGAGGTTGTGGAATGGCCCTCAAATCTGCCTGGAGGAACCAGGCGATAGGCCAGGTTGTCAGGGGCTGAGGGGTGGCCACCTGCTGCCTTCGGTCTGGAAGAACCGAATCGTCGTGCCCAGAGTCAGTGAGTCTGGTTGAGGTGGCAGAACAAGAATTGCCCTTGCAATACTGCGGGCGAGAAGAAGAAAAAAGAGAGGCAATTGAAACGAGGTACAAAGAAGAAGAAAAAACTGACGACGACAAAAGGCAACACAAAATTGGACGATTAGCCCGAATCTAGAGCTCGCGAAGCTTCCGCCGTGTTTGTCCCGTTCGGACGTAGGTTGCTGCCTGGCGGCAGCAAAATCCGAGATTGACTTTGAGTGGCAAATCGGTGCAGGAACAGCAAAAGTGGCACACTGGGCAAGCACCATCCGCCAAGCTAGCACGGGAGCTGAGCTTCTGTCTCAAGGTTCCCACGCAGATCATCCAGCGTGGCGACAGCCAAAGGGATGCGATGCGACGCGCCAAGTAGTCGCGTTTAGGCTTCTGAGTGCTTGCGTCACATGATGCAAGCACTTACGCCTCGACGGTACCCTTGCAAGGCCCAGAGAGCTGAAGCAATTCAGGGGCTTAGGGCCGAGCTTGGGGTCGGAACGCCGAGGCACGTGACAGCGCGTGACCGACGTAGCTGCTTCAGGAAGCCTCCGCGTGAGGTCGCCACGTTCAGCTGCGCTTGTCTAGGGCACGCCTTCCCGTTCTGAAGGTTTCCTCACTTTTGTGCTTGCACCTGTTTGATTTACTGTCGGGCATTCACGGAGGTGCCCCATTCATAATCCGCACTCAACCCCTCCACAAACTGGTTCCTACTGGAAGCTTTCGGTTTGCCCAAGGTACCAGAGGTCGCCGTCCAACAGAGTCGCACAGTTCTGCCTGGCTCTCCCACCATTTCCCCACGCTAGGTCCAGACCTGCATGCGCTTTGCGCCCGACCACAATTCGTGGGCAGCACCCTCAAAAGCTGTAGACCACCCTGAACCTCCACCTCGACCATCCCAGATCGCCCTCCTGTTCAACCTACAGATTGCGCAATATGTGAGCGTTCCCGATGCACAGGCGCAAGGAGGCTTTGGATCCAACCCCGCTGTTAACACCCAATCTAGGAGTCGCAGAACCAGACAAAGCGCCGGCAATGCGCCTTCAGACGAGCCTCGCCGCTCGCGAGGAATCGCAGGACCGTAAGCCCACCGCCCAGCTGCGTATCTAGTATCTGCGTGGAACCCTGGCTTGAGACGGTACTGATGTAATGGCGTGTCTTGCAGGACATCGGCCCTGACGGACTATCTGGCAGTATGAGACAATGATCCGCCCCACCCCATCTCCTTTATGAACCAGAGTCCCACTAAGCATCTCCAACCCTAGGCCAACAACATCTCGGCGGCAGATATCGCCCGAAACCACCAGAGGCGTCAGCAAGCCGCCTTGGCTGACGCTGTGGTCGCAGAGAGCTCTGCCCGTGCTAGCGGTCGAGCTACCTCAACCGCGGCGGTAGCTTCGTCCCTTAGATCTGCTGGCCTCGCTCGTGGCCTCGAGAATGCGTCCTCCGTTGCCGCGCTCGCGGACAAGGTCCATGCCAGCCTTCTCAAAAAGAAGCTGACCAAGGTCGAGCACAAGGCTATCGAGCACTACAAGACGACGCCCGAGTTCATCCAGGCCAAGGATCACTACGCAGGAGATGTCGAAGATGACGACACCCTCGCGCGCATGTTCTACTTTGCTGCTCAAAAGGCCGTCGGCCAGTTTGAGAACTGCGCCGAGTGTGGAAAGAGGTTTACCGTCACCAACTACACATTGGCGAGCCCAAGCGGTGGTCTTCTCTGCTCGCCATGCGGCAAGGATCTCGATACCGGCGACGGTCCCAAGAAGAAGAAACAGAAGGTTTCTAGCGGCCAGGTCGGAAAGCGCAGAAAGCAACAGAGTCGCGTGCTTGATGGCGCAGCCCCCATCGGAACGAAGAGCCTTGTCACGTTGTGCATCGAGCACCTGTCCAGGAATATTGATCTCGCCGAAGACCTGGGGTATCTTCCCGAGCACGTCGTGGATCGTATCGCACGCATCCTATCGAAGCGCCGCCAAATGAACTCCAGGACGCTTCCCCTGTTTCTGCAGTCTGATACTCGGACGCTGAATATTTACGACGCCGGCCTGCTATGCTCCGATGATTTTGTGGGCATCTTCCAGGCAGTCCGGGGCCTCAAGTCGCTCAAGGTCCGCCATGGCATCCAGTTCAAGAACGAGGTCGTCGAGCAGATGCTAGACAAATTTATCAGGCTCGAGTCACTATCGCTCAAAGGATGCAACCTTATCACCAGCGACATGTGGGAGAGAATATTCAAGGATATGGGCGGAGGCATCAAGACCTTTCAGACCTACTGCAACGCCGACTACTTCACTGACAAGACTGTCGGAGCGCTCGCTGAGAACTGTCCAAATCTCAAGCGCCTGAAACTGGTCGACAACAAGGCTCTTACTGCCCAGGCGCTGGAGCCGATCGGGCAAATGAAGGAACTGGAACACCTAAGCCTCAAGATCAAGGATACCATCCCTAACCCTGCCTTTGTCTCGCTTCTCGACAGCATCGGCTCCAACCTACAGACGCTGTCTCTGATGACTGTCGAAAATCTCAACGACACAGTGCTCCAGGCCATCCGACGCAACTGCACGTCGCTGTCCAAGCTTCGCATCACGGATTCTGAGCGTCTCACCGATGACGCATTCGCGAGAATGTTCACTGGTTGGACGAATGGGCCTCTCCGCTTCGTCGAGTTTTCGAAATGCCGCCTCACCGAAGCGAAACTAGGAGGTGTGAACGACGATGGCATCGGACTGTGCGACGCGGGCTTTGTTGCACTCATGGAGCACTCGGGTCGCAAGATTGAGCATCTGGGCATCGATTCGTGCCGACACATCTCCACTGAAGCCTTCATCAAGGTCTTCTCGGAAGACAAGACGTACCCGCAGCTCGAGACGCTCGAGCTCAGCTTCTGCGGCGTCAACGACTTCATCGTCGGCAGCATATTCCGCAGCTGCCCGGCCATCAAATGGGTCAAGGTCTTTGGCTGCATGAACGTCAGGAATGTGCTCGTCCCACGCGGCAAGATCCTAATCGGCGTGCCCAACGCTATTGGCATGCAGATTGAGGGCTACCACTGAGTGCACTGTGGCAGAAGATGGAGGCGCGTTCGCTGCCGCGTAGTCGATATGATGGCGTGTTGGTCAGCGTATTACCAGCCAGCGGCGCCAAGGGATCTATTCATTCGTGTCTTTCGTTTCGGCGCAGATCAAGGGCGTTCTGGAGAGGGTGTTTTGAGAACGGACTAGGCTCGGCTTGGGGGGATGTGCTTCAGAGCGCAATATTCCTAAGTCTCTACCTAGGTGGTAGGCAATTATACCTGAGTTCATGGCGTTGATGTTCACTGCCTTTTTTGTTTCCAAGACCGGATTACCAAAGGTGCTCGTGTTTCGGAAGTGGTGACTGCAGAATACTTTAATGCCGGACTAGAATATTAGGCAAGGCGTTGAGAAACGGAAAGGGAATGTCGTACCTATAGGAGACGAAACATGATGAAAGGTGAAAGACGGAAAGAAGAAGAGTAAAGTCACCGGGTTTCATAAAACAATGTTCCGACTTGTTGGATGACATGCCATATCAAGTAAATTGCAAAATCGGGGAAGGAAACGCCTCAAGATTCTTTTGCAACTCGTTTTTGTTTTTGTTTGGGGTATCGCGGTCTGCTCGTCCACCGACGCCTCCCTTGGCCGACCAAAGTGAAGACAGCGACGGCACCTAGGTATTATGTACAGGGTATTGGGTATAGTCAAACTATATCTACAAAAGAAACCATTGAATAAAAGCTGTGCCTAGAGTCCCCTCGGGCACAAGAGACCCTATGCAGCAGTCTCGTTGGCGGCAAGGTTGGCTAGGAACTCGCGGTCCATGTCGGCCCACGCGTCGAGGCGGGCCTTGAGCTCCTCGTCCCAGACCTCGGGGGCGTTCGTCTCGCGCATGGAGAGGCCGGGGTTTTTGCAGCCGGCCATCTTGTGCAGGTAGTAGACGTGAGCCTCGGGGGCGAAGCCGAAGACCGAGTTGATGCAGTCCGGGGCGGCGTTGCCCTCGCAGACCTTGATGTTCTCGAGGCCGTACTTGAACGAGGTCGAGTCGCCGCCGTTGAGCCAGTACTCGGGCGAGGTGTGCCTGTAGCCCGTGAACAGGGGCGGCAGGCGGGGCACGGCGTCGTTCTCGTGCGTGAGGCGGTACTCGGCCCCGGGCTGGGCGGTGATGAAGTCGGCGAGGACGGCGTTGCCGACGCGCGGGGAGCCGTACGTGTAGATGTCGGCGGCGGGCTCGATGCCTGCCGCGCGGATGGCGGCGCCCGCCACGGTGGCGATGGCGGCGCCCAGGCTGTGGCCCGTCACGACGACGCGGTAGCCCGTCGCCTTCTTGGCCGCGGCCAGGGCGGGGAGGACCTGGGCGCTGACCTGGCGCCACCCCGTGTCGAAGCCCGTGTGGATCTTGCAGTTGCGAGCGTACTCACACGAGGCAAAGCCGATGGTGAGGTCGGTTATCCAGTCCCTGGCCGTGACGGAACCGCGGAAAGCGAGGACGATGATCTTCTTGACGTCGTCGACGGCGATGTAGCCGGCCGTGTTGGTGCTGGTGTTGCGGTCCAGGCTGAGTAGGATCTTGGCGCCGTTTGCCATGACGGTAGGGCAGGCGTCTCCGCCGCACGTCACGGGGGAGTTGGGCTCGGCCTCGTAATTGCAAAAGGCTGCTGCCGCATACTCGCCAAAGTATGAGAACCTGTCGAGGTCATCCGCAGTGACACTGATAGCTATGTGAGAAGAAGCATTGGTCAGTCAATGGGTTGATTCGCGCAAGAGGGCGGTGATGTGTAGCAGTCATGCACATACCTCGACCCTCAACTGTCTTGGACACATCAACTCCACGGGGCAGGGCGGCAGCGGAGCCCGCAAGGAAGAGAAAGCTGGTAAGTCTCATACTGGCGACGTTGAGATGGCGAAGACACTCAGGTGAGGATCAGCAGCGTTAATGCGAGAGCTTAGGGGCTGAGAGGCAAGCTGATGGGACCAGAATCCCAGGGGCCTACGAAGTGCGAACCGTACCTACTTTATGAAAGAGAGCCCATAGCGGCGACAACCGAGAACCGTCACATCAACAGCAACAGCCGGCTTCGATAGAGGCTCAACGGGTATGGATCCTCGCTTCCCACTCTGGAACCCACCACTCCTGTCACCAAGATCCATCCGCCAGGGCGTTTCCCCCCTCTGCGCTCAACAAAGCCCATCTCATTTCCCCGCATTGGTATGCGCGGGCAAGAGACGCGATGCTACACTGGATCGCAGTGCGATACCAGTCCCGTGAACTAGCGAGATGGTGGACCGCATGGAGCACACCAAGCCTTGGGGGCACACGCGCACACCCTGCCTGCAGGGGTGGGTGTGGATGGATGTCAGGGCAGAACGCCATGTCCCTGGACGCCCAGCTCCATCACCCGTCACCACCAAGAAGGGGTCATCCATGCGCGAGGTGATTTCCAACTTGGGTCAGGGCTCCAAGACACGTCTGGTTGGACTACAACGTATAGTGTTCAGCGGAGCTCGCTCTCCTTTTACTGAAGAAACCGACGTACCTACATGTACCCATCTTGCCAATACCACAGAACAGAGCCAAGATCGGCTCCCTGGCTGCCACTTGTTTCTCAACTTTGAGCGGCCAGGAGAGGGTAAGGCTGCCAGGGGGAAGGAAGTTGTGTGGGTACGCTTTGGTGTTTAGACGATGGTCACTCTGCTTAATCAGGACAAATCCGAGCGAGCCAAAGTAGCCGCCGGTCTTGCGGATGCCAGCGCGGGGAAATCCTACTCGCAGCCCGGAAAGTTGGGCACGAGGTCTGCACGAGGGCCGGACTGGGTTTCCTAAAGCGGTAGGCTGCAGAGGGCTTGGAGAAGCCTGTCACTGCAGGTGTGCGCTGCGCATATACGCCGTACGCCGTTGACCGACGGGCGGGCGGACGGAATGCGGGAGAGAAGGCGGCTTGCTGCGTCCCGTCGTGAATCAACAGGGACGAAAAGTGCTGGCCACTGGGTCGCAAAGAGGGTTGCCCAATCGTTTGAAGAGCGTGGTACGCGCACGACCGGCACGCGGGACCGTAGGAATGGCCGGGATTTTGACTCAGGGCCAGAGTGGGTGGATGCTTAGCTGTGTGATATTGAAGGGTCAATAGACGAAAGGCCAAAGGAGCCACCGAATGGTGAGCTGAGGCTGCCCAGACCCACGACAAAGCCGCAAGAGCGTGACGCGCCAACATGCATGCTATTCCTGGAAGGAGTGATGTGTCGGCTGTTCGAGCAGGCGAGGCATAGCACTGACAAGTCGTACTAAACATGGGGGTGAGACGAGGGAAGCACGAAAGAAGGAAACTGCCGAAGCGAAGCTGGGGAAAGAGGAGGCTTGGGATGTGGTCGCATCAACCTCTGCTGGGACCTAGGAAGGTACGGCTGAGCCGCAATCTGCGTGATGTCATGGGGTGCATGTCGCCGTCTCGGCAGCCAAAGGGGAAGCTGCCAGCCTGGTTGGGCAGCCCATGATTTGAGTTTGAGACACTTCAAGGAACCCGCGTGGGTAAGCTAAGGGGAACCAGCCCAGGGAAAACGCAGAACAAGGCGATCAAGACAACAAAGATATCGAGCCTAATGCCGTCCATGCAATTTCTGCACGGGCGTCCCGCTCAGTGGGGATAGTGTGATGGCGCACACAGGCCCCCTCATTTTGGGCAGCGCAATAGTGAAGCGATGGAGGGCATAAGGGACAAGCACGAACACCCACCGATTTACACAATGAGGAAGCTCGGCTCGCCAAATGTCAAATGCGCTGTGGGCTGGTCGGTGGCGCCGCACACCCACCCCCACGCACGCGCTAGCTGGGTCGAAATAAGCAGCGGCCATGCGTCGTCGACCCCCCGTTGCTCGGCGCAATCTCCCTTGTGGGTAGCCATGGCCGACGTCCCGCCGTCTCTGCCTGTCAGCATCCATGGTCAGCAGGGCATAAAAGTCCACCTTTTGTTTTCCCGGTAGCGACCGCCATTCCGAACCGCCCGCGCCTGGCTGGTGCTCTCAACCTGCTTTCCTAGATCTCGTGGACGATGACCCTGGCCTAAGAGGCTTCTATGGCACTCCCTTTCTCTTACCGCCTTCTCAACAACACCCGTCCATTCCCCCACATTCGGTGCGCCAGGAATAATGTCGGGCGGCAGTCTGCATCCCTGCCTCACTGACCGTCAGTAACTCGTTTGGAACCCGTGTACTGGATCTCGAGGCTCGTCGCAGTAGATTCGTTTGCACACCAACCGAAAAACCCTCGTCTGAGCGTCCTTCTTCCTCACCAGTCGGTAAACAAGTATCTGCATCGGAGAAACAGCCTCCGCACCAGGGCTTCGCTATGTCGAGTGTACTACGGGGATAATGTCCGGATGGAGGCCTTTTCATTGGAGCTCTGTTCATGCTAAAGCTTCTCAGAAGCATTTCGCAGGCTTCTCAAACTGAGAAAGCAGACTCACCAAGGCGGGCTCCGTATACACCTACCAATTTCGCTTGCTTTTTTTTTTTTTTCTCTTGCGTTCTCCCAAACCCATCTCCCATGTCCGCCACAATTGCCGCCGTATTATCGAGCTCATTTGTCTAAGCATCCATCCCGTTGACAAGCTTAACCACATCTGTTCTCAACTCTGACTCGCCCATCTCGCTTCGTGATGGTCGTCAATGCCCCCATCAGTCCCAACTGGGTCCAGCGGGAAATTCGAGCATCACTTGTGCCCATGTCCTGGTTGCCATTGCTTGTCTTTCATGACCTAGGAGATGGATTAGGTAGATCCGTAGGTTGCCAGGCGGTGGCCAATGTGTGCTCGCTGTAGATCCCACGTGTGTTCTGGCAAAACAAGCAATTTAGCGAACAAGCGCGCACCCATTGACCGGGGGTTATCTGGGTTTGTTTACTGGACCCATCCGAACTTTGCGCCATGGGGGTCCCATCTCCTAACATGAATGTGAGAGCCTCAGATCTCAGAGGATATTCAGGGCTTAGGCCTGACAGTCTCAGCTGAGTGCGCCAGGTCGGGAACTCAAGTATGCGTTACATTGTATGGCTGACTACGTCAACCGACACTCGAGCTTCATTGCGAGCTTCGCGTTCGTAAACTAACGATTAAAAAAACACTTTAGGGTGCAAATCTTTTGTGTTTTACAAGGCCGAGTCGTTGATGAGGTTGGACTTGGAAGGCTGATGATTTTCAACGAAGTACAGAGTGGAGGAATTGAAATGTGAGGTGAGAGATAGGTGAAGCGTGATATCGAATCTGAGCCATTCACATGTACTGTCTCATGGCGCGGTTACGTCGAGGGTTTGTTGGGCATTTGTGACCCTAGGATGCTGTCTTTTTTGTCGACGTGAATTCTCCGCCACCCGCAGCGCAGAGGATACCTGCGCCAAAGAGAATGAATGTAATACATCATCATCAAAGCAGCGGCTGGAGTACAGTGATCCTGCTGGTCGCGAGAGGATACCTACTGCATGCAGGAACCGCCCCTGGCAGACACATGCCGACGTCGCAAGGCCCATGCAGATCCAGCAGATTCCCGCCTTTCTGGGCAACCAAACACACCAGGTGCGCTTCATCCAGGGGCGGTCAACGGCCCCTTCCGCCAGCCGGACCGCCGCCCGACAGCCACTTCCCTTTCCCCTATCCGCTCAGCCGAGACCTCCCCTTGGCCCGCCTCCTGGCGAGGATCTTGCGCCCGTTCTTGGTCCGGACCCGGCTGAGGAACCCGTGCGTCCTCGCGCGCTTGAGCCGGCTGGTCCGCGCCACCGTCGGCCGGGGCCCGCACCTGATCTGGGACGCGACGCCGCCGAGCGCCGGGTGTGACGTGATGGTGGTCTTGGGCACCAGGTCCAGCACCGAGGCCGTTTGCGACTGTTCGGCGATCGCGACGGGCGCGAAGCCGAGCGGCGAGTGCGACGAGCGGAATAACGGGCTAGTCCGGGGGCAGGTCGTTGGCCTGAGGGAGGGCAGCGAGGAGAAGTGCCTGTTTGGGTTTTTTTTTGGTTCCGCGGGGTTAGCACACCATGTCTATCTATACGTGGAGCAGCGCGCCCACGGATTCGGCCGTGGTCGACAGGTTGCCTGGCCCTTTGTCTCCGCACCTTTGCGACCCCCCTAGCCTCCGCGTCACAACGCCTGGTATCCTCTGCGCGGGAGCCGCCGCCATCCGAAGGCGCGGAGCGATCGCGGCGATCGACGCCATGGTGTCCAGTGAGCTACCTAGGTCGGGAAGGAAGGAATGGCGTCAAGAAATGTCGTCGCCCCAAGACCTCCCTCGCACCTAATTGCTCGCCTGGGTGGGGTTTGGCTGTTGGAGTAAGGTGGTTGTCAATTGGCCGTTGGGTGTGGTCGCTTTTGCTGGTCACGATTTTCAGCCTTGTTGTCTCATGCGGGCTGTTGAGGCCATTTTTTTGCTATCAACGGCATCCTCCGGCCATGTGCCGCATTTCATGCAGGGGTCCATTAGCTCAAGGACGGGCTATGTGGGTCCCCCGCTTTGCACCATGCGGGCAGCTGGGAACTCCAGAGTGACCAATGACGCGAGTTCGCAAAGTTGCACCTGGATGGTTCAATCGAGTCTGATACTCGGGGCTTTTCCATCTTTCCAACCAAAATCAATGTCGTCTAATACATCGCAAGATAACGCGTATAATCTCCCTAGACCACCAAACCAAGGCCTATTCCCCCTTCTTTTGTCACCTTTTGTCGCCAAATCCTAACCTTTGAACCATAAACCAGCAAGACCTTGACAGCATTGCTCGTCTAGAGATCTAAGCATGAGGTATAACAATATCTACTGCACTGGAATTCCCACACACTTTTCTAACCACCGCTTTCTAGAGCTCGTCCCTGCCAGTGGCTTTGGTGGCCTTGTCTTCACCTGACGTCTCGACCTTTTCAGTCGATTGCCAGTTGAGAGCCCTCAGCCTCTCCGACAGGATTGGGTGGGAGAAGTGGTAGCTGGCATACATCCAGTCCGCATCCATGGTGCTAAGGTTCTGGATCTGCAGCTTGATGAGCGACCGAGCCAGCTCCGACTGGTAGCCGAGGTCCTTGGCAAACTTGTCCGCCTGGAACTCGTACTTGCGGCTCAGAACATTCATGCCGAGTTGGATCAACACATCCATAGGCGCGAGCGCGTCCGAGAAGAGCAGGAAGCCGATGATTATCGGGTGCGAGGTGAATCCGAAGTCGGCATAGAGTGAGTTGTTGTTGATGAAGACAGAGAAAAGTGTGAAAACGTATAGGAAGTGCATCTACCCGTGCGAATGTGGCACACCGTCAGCGCCTGCTTGCCCCGAGGAATCAAGTCACAGCGTAGGGGGTGAGGCAAGTGGTGACGAGAACTAACCTGAGCGATTCCAAACAGTCTGGTCGTGTGACCCAGCTTCCAGTGGCCGAGCTCATGACCGAGAACGGCAACAACTTCTTGCGTCTCGCTCTTCTCGATCAACGTGTCGTAAATGACAATGTGCTTCTTCCAGGGCAGACCGAAGAAATAGGCGTTGCTGTGGGCGGACCGCTTGCTTCCGTCGATGACATAGAGCTCATGGAGCGGGAACTTGAGCCTTTTGGCCAGGTCCTCGACACCAGTTTTGAGCGGGCCGGGCTCCAGGGGCGAGAGCTTGTTGAACAGGGGCAGAATGGCAATAGGGTAGACAGTGATCATGAAGACCTGCAGGAAGGCACCAAAGAGCCACAGGTAGTAGAAGAATTGGTTGCCCGTCTTCTGGATGATTTTGAGGAAGCCAGCGAGAATAGGTGGTGCCAGGATGAAGGTGAGCATCTGCGACTTGAGCATGTCTGTGATGAAGAGCTTAGGTGTCGACTTGTTGAAGCCGAACTTCTCCTCAAGAACGAACGTGTGGTAGATGGAACCGGGCAACGACATCAGTTGTTGGATCATGACGAAAGATAGGACGAAGACGATTGACTGCGAGATTTCACCGGTGAAGTAGGCCGGGGCGAAGCGGAGGAGCAGGTTGCCGGACCAAGCCCACAGCTTGGGGAGCACGTCGAGTTGGATGAAGGCGATGTTCTGGATCTGACCCCACAGCTTGGTTACGAAATCGTACTTGGCCTTTGCGCGGCCGTACGCCTGGCTCTTGTCGAAGACATCCTGCGAAACCTCGCGCTCCAGAACCTTGGGGGGCTTCGTCTTCTGCAGGTACTGGTACTGGCGCAACGAGAATAGGCCCTCGAGGAGGTATTGTCCGACAGAGAAGCCGATGATCAGCTTCTTCCACGGGAAGAGTGGGCGGTCGAGAAACCGCGCAAGTTTCTAGGCGGGGGCGGGCGCACCGGGCCTTTTGTTAGTTTCGCGATCAATGACCATGGCGTCGATGGAGGAGGGGTTCCCTAGCTGCTGCCAGGGATAGCCGCGCGGGCACCAGGATGCGCCGTGACGTACCTGCAAGAAATCCATCTTGCGATGGGAGCGCAACGTGAGCGCAATCCTCTATACGAGTGAAACGAAGTGCCAGACAGAAACGACAGAATGAAAAGAAACTATTTGTCGATGCGCAAAAGACTAGAAATCGAGTTCCAGAGAAGATGAAGAAGAAACCGTGTTTGATCCCAAGCCAGACGCGCGACAGACGCAGTAGCGTTGCATGACAAGGCTTCCCTGCGCTTAGGTGGTCCCTGCAGCAGAGTGGAGAAGGATGTGAAACCTGTCCTTTGAACTCGGGTGGGCGGCTGTTGACAAGTGTGGCTTTCGTTGGCGTGGCTGTGAATACCTATTTAGCACGATGTGGGCTGGCACGCTGGGTGGTGAGGTCAGTGGCTTGGAATTAAACAGTGCATCGAAGCTATCTTACGGGCGAATTGCCTGCATTTTCAATTACAAACTTGGCCTTCAAGCTTTCTCCATTGCCAGCTCCTGAATCTACCAGGCCTTAGGAACAGGTCTAGGCGGATGGAACACGACTACCCCCTTGAGCTCTCGAATCAGGTTCGAGGAACCCTCATATTTGCCTGCACCCTTTCCAGGAGCTGCTCTCGGGTATCCGAGGATTGTGGATGAAGATTCCTCTGTCGAGAATGCAACGCCAGGATTACAATTCATCAGCTCTGTCAACGACACCGTTGCTGGAAAATTAGGGTAGAACATACCGCCGCAAGCCAGCGCCTCAGCTCTTCCCTGGTCCAGTTTTCCGGGTCTCCTGTAGGATCCGGCTGTGCAGGAAACATATCTCCGCCCCAAATCGCCCATATAGCAGCACCAGTTACCAGTCCGGTGAATGCTTGGGGTCGTCAGATACGTCTTACTGTCATTATCGGCAAGGCGCTCCTGGCTGATTCGACATTTACCTACCCAGCACTGCATTCTAATGCCGCCCATGTCAGCACGTATCTCTTCAAGGGCAGTGCCACCTTACGTACCTTGGATTTCATAGCATTGTCTAATGGAGTCGGCATAGCTCCTTGGGCGCAGACAGTGCCTGCGATGTTGTGGTATAGTGACAATGAAGGCGAAGTTGTGGCTTGAGATGAGATATCGACGCGTGAAGGACGCGAGACAGATATGCACCAAACCCAGGGGTATGGAGGCACATAAATGACAAGTCTGAACGAGCAAGGAGGTAGGTAGGTATGCAACGATTAATAAAGACGAGTATGACTATTCCTAGAGGATAAGAACACTTGTTAACCAACACGAGTCTGAGTGGATTGCTGTCGTCATCCCTTCCCAGCCCAAAGACCGGTCACAAGTCAGGCTGGCGCCACATTAATGTGCGCGTCAGCCACGCATGTGCTGGAAATCGCGGGGTTGATCAGTCGACATGCACGCCACTGAATATCTCCAGCGCCTTTGAAGCGTCCGACAGGACCAGATAACATCCACCTCGTAGGCGCCTACCTGGCGACAGTGCCTTGATAACTATATGAGAAATGAGCTGCCCATGAAGATTCTCACTTTACTCTGCTCGTATCCCAATGTTGCCTCGCCAGGAACAACTTTCCGTCGGCAGCGGAGCGCTTTGAAAAGCCCTTGGCACAGCAAGCACCGCCCCAGTGGGGCAGCTCCCGAGCTGAGCGAATCCCAGCACCCCACCTACCCCGAGGCGTGGCGATAGCGGAGCAGCCAGGTCGATGAATTTGCCGCCCACAAACCAGACTGCGGCTTCACCAAAATACAACTTGCAACAGCCAAAAATCACCGCGACGAATTTCTCTCCCGAAACAGCCTCAAAAACCACCGCCAAAATGCCCAGGGAAGTCGCCGACATCAAGAAGGTACGTTGTATTGCTAATTCGGTCGCCAGTGGATTTGTGGCGAGTGATCTCTGTCTTTTTTTCTGCGACTGACATTTTGTGGCATCACAGTTCATCGAGATCTGCCGGAGGAAGGATGCTTCCTGTGAGTCCGCCCTCGCGTCGAACGGCAGTTGCCCCCGAGCAATTGGATTAGCGAACGACCGCAGACTGCCCACGCATGCTCGCCCTGAAAGAAGTCACGTATTTTTTTTTTTCTGACACGGAGGCCACGGGCGGTTGATATAGCGGCGAGGATCAAGAAGAACAAGAAGTCGAATCAGGTCAAGTTCAAGGTCCGGTGCCAGACGCACCTGTACACCCTGATCCTGAAGGACGCCGAGAAGGCCGAGAAGCTCAAGCAGAGCCTGCCTCCCAGTACGATCTGATCCCTCCCCCGAAGCCGAACCATCGGCCGAGCTACTCCCCGCCGTCCTTACGGCAAGAGCCTGTCCGCTAACCTAACCATCACCCCCCTTCGCCAGACCTGACTGTCATCGAGGTTAGCAAGAAGGAGAAGAAGGCCAAGTCCTCATAGATGCGCGGTCTCTTTGTGGCTTGACTTGATTTCTTGCGCTTGTGGGCTTTTCAACTGGGACTGTGGGACGGGATTGACGATGACGGACGCGTGTTACGCATCGTGCCCTGGAGGAAGGGTGGTATTCATGATCGGCGTCTGGGCATACCTTGGAATCCAGGACAACAAAAAAAAGATCCATTAACGTCTTGGGAGACCCCGTGCACTGTCGTATACTGGCTTGTGGAGTTGGCTACTGTGATGTGCTGTAGATTGGCATATTTTCTTCTCCTTCGTCGCTTTTTATTCTTCCACTCCCCCGATAATTCATCTGCTACTTCTCCTGCCCTCACTTGTTCCCCTTCCTGATTTTCCCCCTTACGTTTTGCCACATCTTTTTGACTTTCTTTTCCCCGGCTCTTTTCCTGCCGCTGGCATGTCTCCCGTGGTCTTTCCCGTCTTTTATATTCCATCTTTCGGCATGCTTCCCTTCTGCTTGTATTCTAATTGAGGTGCTTTTCTTATTTCTATCTTTTCTTTCTCTTGTCAAGATTCGACACCTCCCCTCATAAAAATACGTGATGGTATCAGTGCGAGGTGATGTGGCGCGGCTGGGCTCAGCCACAGGAGCGAGCCCCGCATCTTTGGACATTGTGCCCGTATCTTACCTTAGTCACCACATAGACATTGCCGGCGCTTACGGGGGCTGCTCTTGAGTCAACGGTTCCCTTTCCGCGCCGCGGGAACGGACGTGTCCGTGCTGCGGGAGGCTGTGTGGGGGAGGTGATGACGGGGCCCAAGAGGTGCCTCCGTGGTTCTGATTCTCCAGCATGCATCGCAGGCGTGTCAGACCTGGCGGACATTTGAGCGGAGGAAAAAGGCCGGCGAACTTCCCATCGGCCTTTAGAAGATTAGGGTTTTGACTGGTAGGGTTGAGATCATAGCGGTAATGGGTCTCCTGACTCTCAATGCAATGCATCCCACCCTTCCCATATCCCCCGAATATCTAGCGTGCCTGATTTGGCCACATTGGCCTGATCACATTGGCTTGACCGCATTGAGGTGGTGTAGGGTATAGAATCGGAAGATAGGTGTGATGAATCGAGCAGCAACTTGAAGAAACAACAACATGCTCAATCAGAGCTTGTCCATGCGTACAGGGATCCAGATGCAGTCGGCCACAGGAGTTACGCTTCCAAGTGGAGTGGATGGTGTTCGTCGGCCTTTTGTAAACTTGCGTGGCCTTCCTAGTAGTTACGTGGTGTTACAACTCTGGGCTGCAAACACCCAGCTTCCCGTCTTTTGTTGGCCCAATCTTTTGAAATCCGAGTAGTCAAGACTTCAAAAAACGGCGATGTCCCTTGGCGATTCGGGGTCCCAGACGACTAGCCTCTCGACCAACCGTGGCCCAAGTGTTACCGACTGCCTGGGTGGTAGCAAGCTGCGATCCATCGGCCGTGGCTGTCGTGGCCACAAAAGTCGGCGGTAGTGTCCCAGGCCATCCCAGCGACCCCTGCAAGGCACCGCGCACACCGGCATCGGGACCCCTTTTTTGTGCGGAGGGCAACCAATGGGCGCGGTGGGTGTCGGCTCCCATGCAGCTGCTGGTGATCGACCCACCGTGCTTCAATGCTCCACGACGCCCAGTTTCCATGATGCAGCCGGGAATTCCAGCACGTCGGAAAGCCCGGGCTTCCATTTCGTCGTCCTCTGGTCATGCGGAACAAGTGGACGCCACACAATATGGGGGACAGACAGAGTTGGTAATTGGCGAGAGCAGATTGGGGTGCGTGCGCCCAAGGCCAGCCTCCCATTCGCGCTAGCTCAGATCGGGGCCTGGTCATGTCATTCCAGAACTGGCACAGCACTTTCCGCCCCTGTCTTTGATCTCCTGGAATTGGATTTTCTGGAAAGGCGAATGAGCCGCGCGTGGCCGCAAGGGGGTGGATAACGACAGAGGAGCATAGCGCCAAATGTTTTTTTCTCCCTCCTCTCTCTTTTTACTCCTTCAGCAAAGCCGCCCCGACGCACACTACATATCGGATAATACGCGACCGCCCGAGACCTGACTGACTCCGATCACCGCCGACTTGCTGCTGCTGCTTCCGTTGCTCCTGCTATCTAAGCCCCCACGCACGTCACACCCGTGCCTGTGTCCCGCCCCAACAAAGTCTTGACGTACGACCAGACAACAACCGGGCCTGCTTCATCTTACTGCCGGCGCGCGCACCCACGGATCCTTTTGCCGTGCCCTCCCTCCCTTCTCTCCCAGCCAGGCATCCGTCCTCGCTGTCATTCCGTTTCCACCCCTTCTCTTTCTCCTCCGCATCGTCTGCCACAACAGCGTATTCCGAGACGAGGGATCCCCGCGCCCGTCCCGTATATAGACTTTGGGCTGCCCGTTTCTAATCTCTGGCCAGCCAAGTCACTTCGCCCAATTGTCACTCGAGCCATCCAAGCGACGTCTCCGGGGCCCGGCTCTTTGTCTGGGTTCCCTTAACTACCGGCGCCGACCGCCTAACCTAACTTGAGCAAGTAGGTAGCCTGTTCGGTATATATGGGCCTCCTCTCGGCCTAATCGAAGCTTCGTCAAGGTTGCAGCAGCACCAGGAGCTATGTTTCGTCCAATTACCTCGCGAGCTCAACTAACACCAGACGTCTCCACCTGAACAGTACCATCTGTTTTTACCACGGCCGAACCCGACTCAAGACGACGGCCTACGTGACTTTCTCCCTAGTTGCTGCTCAGTCACACCCGATTTCTCGCTTCCAAAGACGATTCTTCCCGCCATCACCCACCGTATACAAACAGCCGGCCGCCTTCACCATCAGCGACTATGAGTGGGACTAATGGACTCCACGCCGCCGTGGATGGCCTTCATATAAACGGAAACGGCAAAGGCCACGTCACTATCAGCGCAAACGGAAACGGAAACGGAACCAACGGAGCAAAAGGAAGCAACGGCACACTGAGGGTCAAGATGGCTAGGAAACAGTCTAGTCCCATGCAGCCGGCCTTCATGGTCTCGGCACCGGGCAAGGTCATTGTGTGGGGAGAGCACTCGGTTGTGCACGGCAGGGTAACGTCCGCCCCGGCGCAAGACGTGGAGGTTGCTGCTGCTTGGCAATGGTTCGGTCTGCTAACTTGTCATGGTCTGGTCGCAGGCTGCCATCGCCGCCACAATAAACCTGAGGTCATATCTGCTGGTGACCTCGCTATCCAAGTCGAAGAGGACGGTGACGCTCAGGTTTCCCGATATCGACCTGATACACACATGGAGCGTCGATGACCTGCCATGGTCGACATTTTCGCACCCGTCCAAGAAGAAATCGTACTACAGCCTCGTCACGGCACTCGATGACGACCTCGTGGAGGCAATACAGCCGCACTTAACGTCCATCTCGCCCGACAAGCCTGAGGCAGAGCGAAAGGTGCACCTTAACTCAGCGGCCGCCTTCCTCTACCTCTTCCTCTCGCTGGGCTCCCAGGGGTTTCCCGGCTGCATCTACACGCTCCGTTCCACAATACCCCTTGGCGCCGGTCTGGGTTCCAGCGCCTCCATCGCGGTGTGCCTGTCAACTGCGCTCCTGCTGCAACTGCGGACACTCTCAGGTCCGCACCCGGACCAGCCGTCCGAGGAGGCGCAACTCCAGATCGAACGCATCAACAGATGGGCCTACGTGGCCGAAATGTGCATACACGGCAACCCCTCGGGCGTCGACAACACGGTCTCGACACAGGGCAAGGCTGTTGTGTTTCAGCGCACCGACTACAACGGCCCGCCATTTGTTAGGCCGCTCTGGGACTTCCCGGAGTTGCCGCTGCTGCTTGTGGACACCAAGCAGGCCAAGTCGACGGCGCACGAAGTGGCAAAGGTGAAAAGGCTCAAGGACGCGCACCCCAAGCTGGTGGGCACCATCCTGGATGCCATGGACCGCGTGACGCAGGACGCTTTAAAGCTCATAAGCGAGGACGATTTCGATAGCGAAGAGCTCGAATGCCTTAACAAGGTGGGCGAGCTTATGACTATCAACCACGGCCTGCTCGTGGCGCTGGGCGTGTCGCACCCGCGGCTCGAGCGCGTGCGCGAGCTCGTCGATCACGAGGAGATCGGGTGGACCAAGCTCACGGGCGCGGGCGGCGGTGGCTGTTCCATCTCGCTGGTTCGCCCGGACGCGCCCAAGGAGAAGTTGGCGCGGCTTCAGGAACGGCTTGAGGAGGAGGGCTACGAGGCGTTCAGGACCACACTCGGCGGTGATGGCGTCGGCGTGCTCTGGCCGGCGGTACTGCGGAACGGCATGGACGAAGACCACGAGGGCGGCATGGAGATCGACATGGAGAAGTTTCTCAACGCGGATGGTACCGAGGGCGTCGAGCGCCTTGTTGGCGTCCACGGCGGTGGCGGCGAGAGGGAAGGTTGGAAGTTCTGGAGGGTTGGGACGCATTGAGCTTTCTCGTTAGAAGAGAAGTGACACTAATTTCTGATGGGTTTGTCGAGGCAAGCGGGCGAGTGGCGTGAACGGATCTAATTATCTAAAACAGCAAAAGCACAAAAAACCTGGAAGCAAAAGACGAGGAACGGGCTCCCAATGTCAACTTTGGACGTCTTCCTGTTCTTGTCCCTGCTATTTACATCCTTTAGATAGTTGTAGTGAGGTTGGAACAAAGTTCGGAGGCCTTTTATCACGTAAATCGTGCGCACCGCCACGTCTACAAGAGAGTGAAGATGGGTCCGGTTCATCGAGGGGTATTGACTGTTGCTAGGCAGAAAAGAGATGATGTTAGTGGATGTTGGTTCTAGTATTGTTCATGGCGTCCTTGGTATTGTTCTCAGCCTTGAGAGCTAGCTCCATTTGTCAAGCGATGTCTTGACGACGGGATGGGCTGATGGAATGAATGGGTGGGTCGAAGTGCCCCGCATCCGTTGGCTTGACCATCACGGTTGCGAAGGCGGGAAGCTCTCCACACGCCTCATGCCCACTGTCGCATGCAGTCTAACCAGTAACCCCCAGGTCGTCTCCCTTGATCGTTGCATGCAAGTCATTTGAGTAACAAAAACCACCCCACCCGCCCGGCCTGTCCTGACCTCGTCGAAATAGAGGACAGGCGGACCCGAATCGGACGGTGCAACAAAGGGACGACAATGCCGCCGAAAAAGGCAGCTGCCAAGGCCAAAGAAGCAGAGAGTGAGTGCTGCTACTTCCCCCCCCAGGGACTCCCATTCTCATGACTCCCATTTTCATGACCCCCATTGCCCCTCCCTCTTCCTTTCGCTCTGCGCATCGCAACTCTCCCTGGCTAACTGGACAACGCGACCCCTCCTCCGCCACCACCAGAAGCCAAAGCAGCAGCAGCAGCAGCAGCACCACCACCACCACCCCCACCCCCGCCGAGCACGGTCAGCGAGCGGAGCAGACAGCGGTACGAGGCCGCGAACCCGCTGGACGAGGCGATCCGTAAGGTCGGCATCAGCGGCCTCACGCCGGAGCAGCGGCAGACGTGGGCGAACATCAAGTACGTGCGCGACACGCTCGCCGACAGTAGTAGCGGCAGCAGCAGCAGCGGCGGCCACGGCAGCGGCAGCAGGAAGGGTGGCCAGCTCGGCAACAAGGCCCAGCGCGAGATCTGGCGCTCCTTCAACGAGTCCGGGCTCCCGCTCCGCGCCCTACGGAGGCCCACCCGCTGGGGGTCCGCCGTCGGTGAGCTCTCGCCGGACCAGTTTCGCGCCCGCGCCGACCGCCGACTCCGCCTGACGGCGCTGCAGGTCGAGCACCGCGCCTTTTTGGACAAGCGAGAACGTGCCGCCGCCGCCGCCGCCTCCACAACAGCAGACGCTGCCGACCCACCCCCAACAGCACTCTTGGAAGCCGAGATCGACGAGGAGAAGAGGCGTCGGAAAGAGATGGCAAGGCTGAGACAGGAGCTCTACGGGGAGATGACGGGTTCGCTCGCAAGCGACCCGGCGTGGGATGATGTCGTGCCCATTCCACTCGTGGAGCCTGAAGGAGCCCTGGCGTCTATCAATTACTCGGATGACTACGCCGAAGGTTGGTTAAATATGCTCAGTGATCTTTACTGTTTGTACGCAGCATGGCTGACCTTGCTGAACTGGGCGTGCAGCTATATCGTACCTGCGGGCGGTTATGGCAAACAAGGAGTATTCGCCGCGGTGCCTCAAACTGACGGAGCATGTCATCGACATGAACCCGGCGCACTACACCGTCTGGCTCTACCGCTTCTCGATCGTGCAGGCGCTCGCGATCCCGATCCCGGACGAGATCGAGTGGCTCAACACGGTGGCGCTCGAGCATCTGAAGAACTATCAGATCTGGCACCACCGCAACCTGCTCATCGAGGCATACCACCCCACGATCGCGGCGGACCGCGACGAAGTGGCCCGCCTGGCCGCGTCGGAGCGGGCCTTCATCGCGGCCATGCTGCGCGAGGACACCAAGAACTATCACGTCTGGTCCTACCGCCAGTTCCTGGTTCGCCGGCTGGGAATCTGGCGCGACCCGGAGGAGATGGCGGCTGTCGAGCGGCTCATCAAGGACGACGTGCGCAACAACTCGGCCTGGGCGCACCGCTTCTTCCTCGTCTTCTCGGACCCGGAGTCGGCGACCGAGGGCTCGCACTCGACCGAGCCCGACCCTGCCGTCCCCGCCGACGTGATCGACCGCGAGGTGGCGTACGCGCGGGCGGGCATCGAGCTGGCGCCGCAGAACCAGAGCCCCTGGAACTACCTGCGCGGCGTGCTGGTCAAGGGGTCTCGCCTCCTGTCGACGGTGGAGGACCTCGTGCGGACCTTTGTGGCGGACCTGGGGGACGAGGAGAAGGAGGAGGTCAAGAGCACGCACGCGCTCGACCTCCTGGCCGAGATCTGCGCCGAGAAGGGCGACAAGGACGCCGCGGCGCTCTGCCTGGACCGCCTGGGCGACAAGTGGGACCGCATACGCAAGGGGTACTGGGACTGGAGGAAACGGACGCTGCCTGAAGAGGGGGATAAGGGGAGCATCCCGATCAGGTGACGAAAACACAGGTCGGCAGCAGCGGCAGCAGTAACAGTCTTCTACTTTATATCGTATCGCAGAAAGGCCGTTATCAGTCGCTTTGACGCAGAGGATAGAGTATCAAGCTGTCTGTTCTTCTGCTTGCGGGAGGCTAACACTGCAGTTCTTGTTTCAGGGGCATTAGATAGGCGAGGGAGTTGCGAGCGGAAGAGGGAATTTTTTTTTTTTTTTTTTTTTGGAAAAGTGTTGTATAAAAACAACTTTTCTCTCGTCAAGCAAAGAACTTTCCCCAATAATTCGGGAGGATAAGCAATGAAATCCGAACCCCTGGTGTTCGCTGGGACCGTCATTGTGTCCAGCCGACGGGCGAAGTGCAGCGATTAACCCCTAAGCTGGCATGTTGGGATGCCGACAGCAAAAGATCCTCCGTCCGCCCCCGCCCCTACATGGCGCGGTAGTTCTGGCTCAGGACCAGGAAGCGCTTGGCATTGCGCGGGGCCTTGGACCCCATTGACTCCCAGTTGGGCACCAGCACAAAGACCTCGGTGAAGGGCCTCCTAGGCGCGTCCTTGTCGGTGCCGAACTGGACGGCGCCGTTGACCATGGCCATGATGGAGACCTTGGCGTCGCGCTCGGCCCTGTCGCGGGCCGAGCCGCGGTTTTGTTGTTTCTGCTGTTGTTGTTGCTGCTGCAGCTGGGAGTCGGGGCAGGCGACGAGAAAGTTGGGGTTGAGCACGTGGGCGTCGAAACCCTCGATGTCGTACTTGACGCGGCTGCCGTTGGCCTGGGTCTCGAGCAGGCGCTCCAGCTCGGCCGGGTCCTTGACCACGAGGCCGTTGACGCTGATGTCGGCCGTGATGCTGGCGGCCGCGTAGCTGGGGCTGCCGTTGACGTAGAAGCTCCGCAGCGGCTTGCGGTCGCTGGCGCTGGCGTAGTACCAGTCGATGAAGGCCTGAGCGCCTGTTTTTGGGAGTTTTTTTTTGTTTGCTTGTTTTAGGTTCTGGTCTGGCGCTACTCACTTCTGCGACTGCAGCTTCACAAAGTGATGTGATCTGCTTAGGGAGGTGTCGGCAGAGTGAGTGTGAGAGTGCCTGTTTGCTTACCTTCTGCCGAGGTCTTGACCTCGGTATCCTCGGCTGCGCCAGCCATGATGAAGACTGACGCTTTCCCCCTTTCGGACCCCCTCCCGAGAAGTCCTCCGCGCCGCCCTCTTTACCTCTATTCTTGTGATCTTTGGTCCGCGGAGACGCGGCAGTGTGTGAGTTTAGGATTGTATACAGCGTATGAGGCAGGCCTGACCGCCAAGTAAATATGAAGAATATCACGGGCGGTCAAGCTGCTAGGGTTGGAAATACCTAGAGGTGAAGCGGTGACAACAGGAGTCTTGAGGGGGATATTCCGACCGTCTTTTAATACGCAAGTCGTGGCTCGTTTGTCCGTGGTATTCTTGAGAGTTGCAGCCTGGGCGTTTGTTGCTTGCTGGTTAGGCTCGGCTCCATGTGGAGGCGGCACCTCTCTGGTCTGCACAGTGACATACCCCACAAACCCGCACAGTGACAGTCGGCCCATAGTTTTTTTCATCCCCTGCCGTCACAGCTCCTCCTCCCATGTCTTGGGGTCGCGTCTTCGATTTTAGAGCCTCTATTTCCATGTCGACTACGGCACCCGCTTGGCCAGCCCACAGGTCGAAATGCAGCGCATATCGCTGTCGAGAATACGGCAGCTCTCGCGTCTGCGTCCCACCCCCGCGTCTCCTTTCGCGCCTCGATGGGTTTGCGCGGCATGTGAGCGCCGCGGGGGTGTCTCGCGGCGCCTGGCCAGCACCTCGACCCCCACGACACCAGCAGATGCGACCTCCCAGAAGCCCTACTACGTGACGACGCCAATCTTCTACGTCAACGCCTGTACGTGAGGCCTCGGGATCGGCCGGCCGCATCCATGCCATGTCTCTGACGCCGTCGTGCCCTTCCCCCCGCAGCCCCCCACATCGGCCACATGTACACCATGGTCCTCGCCGACGTCCTCAAGAGGTACCGCGTGCTCCGCGGGGAGCGGGCGCTCCTCTGCACCGGCACCGACGAACACGGCACCAAGATCCAGCGCGCGGCCGCCCAGAACGACATGGAGCCCAAGCAGCTCTGCGACGCCAACTCGGCCGTCTTCGCCGACCTCGCGCGCGCCTCCCAGGTGGACAACGACTTCTTCGTCCGCACCACCGACGAGGACCACAAGGACGCCGTGTGTTACTTCTGGGACACGCTCGTGCGCCGCGGCTACATCTACGAGGACAAGCACGCGGGCTGGTACTGCGTCAGCGACGAGACCTTCTACCCCGAGTCCCTGATCGAGAAGCGCATGGACCCCGTGACGGGCAAGGTGTTCCTGGCCTCCAAGGAGAGCGGCGCCGCCGTCGAGTGGGTCGAGGAGAAGACGTACCAGTTCCGCATGACGGCCCTCCGCGACCGCCTGCTGGACTTTTACAAGGAGAACCCGGACTGGGTCGTGCCGCTTTCGCGTATGCGCGAGGTCGAGGACTGGGTCCGCAACAACCTCGAGGACCTCTCCGTCTCTCGGCCCGCGAGCCGGCTTAGATGGGGCATCCCCGTGCCCGACGACCCCAGCCAGACTATCTACGTCTGGCTCGACGCCCTGGTCAACTACATCACCAAGGCCGGCTACCCGGGCTGGGCTCCTGGGCGTGAGAGCGAGGGCGGCTGGCCGGCAGACGTGCACGTCGTTGGAAAGGACATTGTGCGCTTTCACTGCATCTACTGGCCTGCGCTGCTCATGGCTGCGGACCTGCCGCTGCCCCGCAAGGTGCTCACGCACGGCCACTGGACGCTTGGCAACCGCAAGATGTCCAAGTCGGTGGGGAACGTGGTCAACCCCTTTCTCGCCATGGACCGGTTCGGTGTCGACGCCGTCCGCTACTTCCTCATGTCGCCAGCCAACATTAGCGACGACGCCGACTACGGCAACGAGCTTGTGGTGGACAAGTACAAGAAGCAGCTCCAGTCAGGACTGGGGAACCTGCTCGGCCGCGTGACCCGGTCCAAGTGCTGGAACGTCTCCGAAACGGTCGCTCGCGCCTGTGCGCATCCGGCCGTCTACCAGCTGCCGTCGCAACACCAAATTTTGACAGCGCTCCCTGTGGCCGTGGAGAAGCACTTTGAGCAGCCGGAGCCGGAGCGGGCTCTGCGTGAGATTATGAGCATCGTCGTGCAGGTGAGGGGGATGTTTCTTGTCCTCGGATTCTGCCCTTTGCTTCTAGGTCATTTGCTATGCTAACAAACGCACTCGTTCACGCATGGAAAAGACCAACAAATTCATCACAGACATGGCCCCCTGGGAGTTGGTCAAACACCCGGACGGCGCGGACAAGCAGAAGCAGATGACTGCAACCATCTTTTACTGCGCCGAGGCGCTAAGGATCTCGGGCATCCTACTGCAGCCATTCATGCCAACCAAGGCCGCCGAGCTCCTGGACATCTTGGGCGTGCACGAGACCCGACGGACGTGGGCTTACACCAATGTCGGGGCCGACTCGGAGTATGGCGCCCCGTTCCGGCACCCTGGTGGGGGTGCCTTTGAAGGCCTTTTTCCGCCGCTGCCAGTGGCGTCGTGAGATTTGAGGGTGTTGTTGCTCTGGCCGCTGGCTTGTAAGAATAGAGCCAAACGAGAAGCGATAGACGTGATGCAAGGGACATGAAATAATGACTGCAAAAATGTGGCGTGTAGATATAATAAACGCTGGTCATATCTCATGTGTAAAAAGTCCGTAGTGGGATCAGTGTCGAGCTTGGCTCTAATAATGGGCCAATGGCAAGGGATTTCTGTCATGATAAACTGTTTTGGCTTTGACTCTTTGCCAACAGCCAGACCCCGCAGCACCTTCCAGCTCAAGCTCGCAATGAGGCTCAACGAGAGCACAGGTAAAGATAGTTCTGCACAGTAGCATCTCCTCCATACCTTCCCCTTGGTGCTGGCTGACAACAAGCCAAAAACCCCGCAGCCATCTCCACGGCCCACGTCCTGCTGGTGCCCTACGACCGGCGCCATGTCCTGACGTACCACCAGTGGATGGAAGACCCGGTTTGCCTACTGCCTACCCCCC